TGGAGGGCTAGAAAGTAATCTGGGAGTGTTGTATTCATTAAACCTGGGCTTTTTCTTTTTTCTTTCTTTTCTTTTTTTTTTTTTTTCCAAGACAGGATTTCTCTGTGTAACAGTCCTGGCATTCACTTGGTAGGCCAGTCTGGCCTCAAACTCACAGAGATCCTCCTGCCTCTGTCTCCAGAGTGCTGAGCATAATGGCGTGCGCTACTGCCACCTGGCAAATTTGAGCTTTTTCTAATTTGGTTTGACTTGGTCTGATTTGGATTGCTGCATGGTGGAGAGACTTATCATGGTGCAGAAACTTCTCAACCCTCAAGGGCCCGATCCCTTCCCAATGGCCACCCATCAAGACTATTTCTCTTTCGAGGGAGAGGTTGTCACAGACGTCCTCAGTGTCTCTCATCCTCAATCTTGTCACTTTTTGACCTGTGAGTGGGAGCTTTCTCTCTCTCCTCACCTACACTGAACAGCTGTCGGTGGGTCGAAAGGAGACCCAGCTGGAAACTAGAACTTTCCCTAAGGTGAAAGAGATGTAGGGCACCTGGCCCTGAGCTTCATCTTTGCGTTTCTCCTGCCCAGGTGCACAACGACTCAGCACCAGGTGATGACCGAGAGCTCCGGGATTTCCCTTGATGTTCCATTGGGTACAGAGCCACCGCTTTGGATCAGTGGGGCTGTGATCGTTAGCACATCAGACTAAAAGACACCCACAGCCATGACGTATAAGGCCACATTCTGGGGTCTCCTATGCTAGTATTGAAAGGGCTGGTATTGGACAGTGCAGAGGAAGAATCTTTGATATTGATTGCCTTTTCTAAGACTACAGCCAGTTAATACTGAAGACATTGCCTTTCTTTTGGCCTCTTTAGTAACCTCCCTGTGTACCCTCCACCCCAACTCCATAAAGCTGTTTGCTTGTCCATAACCCCGCCAGAGTGGGACTTGTGGGGTCTTTGGGGGGGCAATTTTTAATTGGTCTCAGATAAGGAGGTTAACATCAGAACAAAGACAATCATATCTGAAGGTCAGCTTGGTGAACCTATGAGTTTGGAATTTCAGGTTGCTTCCAGGAGCAGGCTACTTAGGTAGCTATGTTGAAGGAATGCCCCCTTACACCCCCCTACCCCCCAACCCCAGCATGAGCAACACTCATGAAAACTTAATCCCGGCCAGCTTCCAGGTAGCTGCACTAGAAGGAACTACACGAGGTCCCTTGCCATTTATTTCTTCCTATCCTTGGGGAGGAACACGAATTCCTTAGCCTTCCACCTCCTTTCCCGAGGGAATGTTAATAAGGCAGCCTCAGGAGGTGAAGATCACAGCTGCTCTGGCCGTAGACCGCGACAATCAGAAGGAACTGGGAGGGAACAGCCACTCTGGCAATGGTTACCATCTCATCCCCCATCTGCTAGAAGCCTCCCTAACATTTGCAGAGCAGGGAAAAGTCTTTACACAGCCCCCTATTCAGCAGTTGCTGGCTGAATTTTCCCAGGTCTCGCCCAGAAACACAAGCAAACCTTTCAAAAGGTCTGTTTCCTTTCGTTCTGAAGCTGAACTATGAAGTCCTTTACTATTACAAACTATCCACATGGGAGAGGTTTCCCCCCTTGTGGCCTAGACTCAGTCCTGGGGGGGGCACCTGGCTTTTTCTTTTGGGTCTCCAACCAGCTCCCAAATCACGACACAGACTTAACTAGTTTTGCATGCCCTTCCTAGCTTAGGCTCCGTTCTGTTCCTGTTCAGCTCCGTTCTGTTCCTGTTCACCTACGTTTGCCTTGGGTCATTTTATCTTCTTTCTGTGTCGTTCTTTCACAGCCTCAGTATACCTAGCTAGCAGCCCGGCATCATACCCCACTGGATCCCTTTTTCTCTCCTCCCCCTTTCCTCTATTTATTCTCTGCTTCCCAGTCCCGCCCATCCTTTCTCTTCCCAGCTATTGGCCATTCAGCTCATTATTAGATCAATCAGGGACCTTATACAGACATGGTAAACCAGCTTTCCATTAATTAAACAAATGCGGCGTAAGCAAATCTGACACACCTTTGCACAGTTAAAGTGATACTCTGCAGCGTGAGCAAATCTGACACACCTTTGCACAGTTAAAGTGATACTCTGCAGCATGAGCAAATCTGACACACCTTTGCACAGTTAAAGTGATACGCTGCAGCGTGAGCAAATCTGACACACCTTTGCACAGTTAAAGTGATACTCTGCAGCGTGAGCAATTCTGACACACCTTTGCACAGTTAAAGTGATACTCTGCAGCGTGAGCAAATCTGACGCGCCTCTGCCTGGTTAAAATAATAATCCACAACACTTCGGTCACAGGGTATGCCGCCACACCGGTGTGTATTCTTTTAGTCACAAATCCATTAATTGTGTGAAGAATTGTTTAGGATTTTATCAGAACAACTCGTATGTGTTCAAAATAAAGATGTGTCTAATTATCGCGTGTAGTGTTTTTGTTTAAATTTTAGCCTTGTGTCCGTGTCTCCCCCCCCCCCCCCCGTGTAGGGGTCCATGCAATGGCACAATGTGGTATAGGGAAATCAGAGGACATCTTTGAGACTTCATTCTCTCCTTCCACAGTGGATTCCAGGGATGGAACTCGGGTAATCAGGCCTGTGTGGCAAGCCCTTTTACCCGCTGAACCACCTTGTATCATCTTTTTGCATGTGTGTATGTCTGGAAAAACCTATTCATTTATCAACCAGTCCCTCACATCACGCCTTTGTGGGGGGGGGGGAAACAACTGTCGTTGAAGAGGAGACATTGTATTTTTGTATTTTTAATGCAGGAAACTACAGAAACCACAGTGCCCAAGGGATTGAAATTATTCATATGCAGCTCCCATGCTGAGCAGGAGAGGGAGTCAAACGGAGGATGGTACAAGCTTGGGATATAGAAAGGGAGTCAGGGGAGCATGCTCTGGGATTGGCACAGAGATGATATCCTGATGATGCAATCCGGGGTCCAGAAGTGGAGTGCTAAAGACAAAAGTAAAAGCTTTAAAACCACATCTGTGTCCTACAAAAACGCCCACTGTCCCGCCCACTGTCCCACCCACCGAGGGGACAAGGGATGGCTGCCTCTGCAGAAGGGAAAGCTTCCCTCCCTTTGTCCAGCAGCCGTTGGGCTGGGGGGCTGACAGCTGGCAGCAGGTGCCTGCCCCTTCCACCGTGTGCTAAACGCTGTGTCATGCTCTGTGGAGTGCATGCAGAACAGTGAAGTGACAGATTCCTGTCACCCAGGAGGCTGACACAGACACAGCCCATCCACAGTGGCTGGTGCCCCCCTGCTTAACCAAGTCCTTCCCAGACAGGCTCTGAGCTGCTTCTGTTTCCAGTAGCTTCGTCTGAATGAAGTCGGATGATTGCAGTCATCCGTGTTGATCCGCTTCCTCTAATTGCCTTTAAATGCTAGCCCCTGGGGACCACATGTCCCCTCTGCCTGGCACCTAACAGGTTTAGAATACCCTCGGTGGTGAGATTAGAAAGGCTGCAATTACTGGCTCAGTCCCTCTGAAAGAACTTGGATTCGCCAGCAAATATTAAAAGCAGATTTCCACACTTGCATTTACCATTTGTATAAAATACTATGGCAAAATTGCACTGCAATTATCTTTATGGCCAATGCATAACACTGGAGGAGAGTATGTCACCCAGATATAGAGCTACCCGTATAATTATCTGGCCATCGGCAGGACTGAAATAACCATCTAATGAGAGCAAAATGATATGGTAAACACCATGTAATCAGCAAGTTACAGTTATTATAACCCTTTGTGCCCTCTCACCCAACAGTAGATGGGAGACTGGACCCAGTCCCTGGTCCGAGGGAGCCATGAACAGGTGGTATCAAGGGTCAGATCCTTGGGTCTCAGACTGACCACCCTGAGGCCTGCAACTGTGAATTCCGGAACAAGGGGAGAGGGGAAGGAGCCTGTGTAGATTGCAGAGGCTTCCCAGGCCCCCTTCACTCCTGGACTTCCTTCCCTTTAGAAGCCAGCAAAAAGGAAGGCATCAATTGAGTGGCCTGGCCGTTGCCATGTGTGGGTAGACAGCTGCATCAAGGCAGAAATTTCTGTGCTTTGACTAGACTTCCCTGAAGGGCTTTCACACTAGTGGACAAGTGAGGAATCTCACAGCCCACTCATCCCTGAGGTCTGGCCTAGATGTCTCTCATCAGTCAGACAAAAGCCAGCCAGGGGGACAAGAGGAAATTCTCCATCCGCCCTCCCCAGTGCTCAGCTTCCAAGCTGTCACCATCCTTCTATTCCAGATGGGGAAACTGAGGCTCAGTGTTAAGTCGCTTGGCTAAGGGGACACAGCTAGAGAAAGGCAGGTCCAGAATTGAATTTAGGTCCAGTTCTAATACATTCTGCCGTGCTGGGAGGCTAAGATGTGGTTTCCGGCTATTTCCAGACTTTTAGCTTCCCTGAATCTCTTCCTAAATTGTAATTGTACTGACTGCATTCTGACACTGTAACTCAGCACAGCTCAGCCTACTTGAGAGGCAAACACTTGGAGCTGTGAGTCGGACCTACAGTGACCGGAAGACGATCTCACCATCTTTTGAACAGATCACAAGACGACAGTGTCCAAAAACACCAGCTGACCACTGGAGAAAGCCCCACAGGACCTCTCTCTCCCTGCTTCCTACCACACCTCTCTGTCTGCTCAGCAATCGGCAGGGTCCATGGCACGGGAGAGAGAGAGAGAGAGAGAGGGAGAGAGAGGGAGAGAGGGAGAGAGAGAGAGAGAGAGAGAGAGAGAGAGAGAGAGAGAGAGAGAGAGAGAGAGAGCGTGTATTTCTGAGCATCACTGCGGTTGATACTCCCTGTGCTGGACACTGGTGGTGTGTCTGTGTTTTAAGTCAAAGGTGTGTGCTGTGCATTGGTAGCCTCTGTGGAAACCACAGCTGACGGTTGTTCCCCCCCTTTCCCCCTCACGCCTCACCCCTCCAGCCAACCGTGCTTTACCTTATTCTGTGCCGGGGGCCTATTTCAGGGTGCCAAAGCTGGAGGTATTCTCTTCAACCACATCAGTGGGGGTGTCTGGGGTGGAGTAAACATGTGTCAGGAGGGATTCTTCAAATCAGTGGAGAGCTGTCTGTGAAAGACAGCTCTGGAGGACAGAGCTGGGAAGATGGGGAGGGTAGAACCTTCTCTCCCTCTCTCAGCCCCACTGAGGGCAAAAATTGGGAGACACTTCTGACAGAGCCTCGGCAGTACCCAGACCTTCCCCCTGGGTGTACCCTACCTGGCTGGTTGTTCCTCTTGCCCATGAGTCCCACAAAGAAATCATGCATGTCGCCTGCAAGAAAAAGGCCAGTGTTGTCAAGATGTCTGGAACTCTCTCTGTGTCTCTCTCTACAAGGTCTAAGTATGCTACCCTGCCCTGGAACTTGCGGCGTAGCCCAGGCTAGCCTTGTGCTCTCCATCTCCCCTCTCTTCACCTCTGAGTTCTGGAATTACAAAGGTGGTGTGTCGGCACATCTGGCTCCTCTTTATCTCATTGGAGCCTGAACCCCACAGCTGGCTCGTGTATTATCTGCCCGATTTCTCTGTCCACCCCTCTCCCAGCACTCGGGCCCACATTTCATCAGTTTTCTTCCGCAGCAGGTGCTTGGTTTAGACTCTCCATGCCCTCAGGAGAGCCCCCGGGTCCCAGTGACCAACCAGGGAGGGACGGGACACCCTCCCATGGCCTTCACACCTGCTCTCTCTCCTTCCCTGGTGCCAACTCCCACTCAGAAAGGCTGGCTAAGCAATTGCAGCTGGTATACTGTCCACACCAGCTGAGATGAGGTCAGTAAAACTGGCCTGCCGGCTGCATGCCCGTGGGATGCTGGGCCAAAGGTCAGCACAGATAAGGGAGAAGCTACTCACGTTTCTGCGGAAGCGATGTCTCCTTTGGTCCTATGAAGCCAAGCGCAGAGTGTGGGGAAGTAGTAATTAGGGAGGGATTCAAATCACAGCCCCCTCCTTCACTCACCAACTCACTAGGACACCCCACCTCCCTCCCTGCTGAAGGGGTTTCCCTGGCCACTCTAATCTTTGGGACGATGCCCCTTGCCCCTTCTTACCCATGCTGGCCTTGCTCAGCACCTTCAGCAACCCTTCCAGAGAGACGGAGCGGCTGTCGTAGAGTCTCCGCAGCAGGGACTGCGGCAGCTGGTAGAGGTCAGAGTCCTTGTAGGGGAGAGGGACAGAGAGCTGAGGGACAAGGCCCAAACCCATCCGCTCTCTTCCTGCGCAAGACAGCCTTGCCCCAAACCCACCACAGCTGAACCCAACACCCCATTCCCCCAGGATTTCTTCTGGTTTACCCTGGAAGAGAAGAGTGTGTGTGTGTGTGTGTGTGTGTGTGTGTGTGTGTGTGTGGAGTGTGATGTATGGACCCGGGAGCCTCAGCTCTGGAGGGAGTTAGAAACACAGACTCCTACCTTTAACCTGGGTACGACCTGAATCTCAATGTGACCCCATGGTGTTCATGTGCTTGGTGAAACCATGTGGAAGCTTCTGGATGGCTGGCCTGGTGGCCTCAGACTGCCTCCCTGGGATGCTGGTCATGCTGTCTCCCAAGGCCAAGGGTGGTTGTCTCCTGCAACCCCCCCACCCACTTCATGCCACCTCTCAGTGACAAAGCCACAGGTTTAGAAACCAGCTTGCTAGAGACGCAGCCAGTCCACGGAGTGAGCCCTGAGTCCCTCACGCCCCACAGAGGCCCATCACACAGCAAGTGTCCTCTAGCCTGTGCTCACGGGCAGGACTCGGTCCTGGGGTCAGGTGGCAGTGAGCAGCAGGGCAGATGTGAGATTCCCTACTCTGTGCTGTTGGCTCTCCTCCCCTGTCTCTGTAGCTTTCTGCTTCTAGCTTTTGTCTTCCTCACCCCGTTCTACCCTCCATCTACCCTCCATCTAGAATTTCGGAAAGGCTGCCTGCTCAGCATGGCATTTCTTCTACTCTACCAACAGAGCCCCAGATTCCAGAGCCGCTGCTGCTCCAAGAGAGCGCTGACCATCCTCTCTCTGTCTGTCTGTCTGTCTGTCTGTCTGTCTGTCTGTCTGTCTGTCTCCCTCTCCCTCTCCCTCTCCCTCTCCCTAGCAACTTGAGCACAGCAGGGTTGGTGGGTACATGCCAGAGCCCCAGAGAGATGCTGCTGTTGACTGCTAGAAGATGGCTACCTGAATCTCAGTTGTACCAGAATTCTAGTGTCCTTGGGCTGCAGTGGACCCCCAGGGTACCCCCCCATCTCATCCTCACAGACGTTGCGGAGAGAGACGGTCTCTTTTGTTGACCAAGAGAGGCAGAGGGGTTTCTGGGTGTCCTAGGTGCTGTAGCAGGCTTATCTCTGAAGAACCCAGACAGTCCTACCGCCCTGGCCACACAAGGCCCAGCCTGTACTTGACACTCACTGAGCAGGGGGTTTTGCTTGGATCTGGTGCAACTGTTGCTGCCTGCACAGCTGCCCTGGCGAGCAAGAGCATGTCTCTCTCTCTCTCTCTCTCTCTCTCTCTCTCTCTCTCTCTCTCCCTCCCTCCATGTGTGTATGTGTGTGTGTGTGTACTGCTCTCTCTGTATACTCTCTCTGTGTGTGTGTGTGTGTACTGCTCTCTCTCTCTCTCTCTGTATTCTCTCTCTCTGTATTCTCTCTCTCTCTCTCTCTCTCTCTCTCTCTCTCTCTCTCTCTCTCTTCCTCCCTCCCTCTCTGCCCAGCTCATAGCTTTCCAGAAGCCACTTTTTCCAAATTGTTCAAATACTCAGCCCACCTCCTGTAATGAGATGCTAAGCAGATCGGAGCTGGAGAGGCAGAAGGCTTCGCACGCTGAATTTGTAATAAGTCCCACCTGTAATCATCTTAAAAGCATTTGTAACTGCTGTCAACTCAAAACCCTGAAAAGACTTCCTCCCTGCGCTCCCCCCACCCCACCGATCCTGACAAGTCCTATTCTTTTTCTTAGAGGAACTTTGGGGACCCAGGCTCACCCTGGCTCATTTTTCGATTTCTGTTTTACTCGTCTGACAAAGCAGAGGCTGGAGGTAGGCAAGGGAGAGGAGAGGAGGGAAAGCCTTGGGGCTTTAGACACGCCAGAGACTGTGGGAGGTGGGTAAGCAGAGGGTGGGGGCGGTACCTGCGTCTTGAAACTAAAAGAACATGTGTAGCTCACAGATGAAACAGCAGAGGGCCACTTGGGGGAGAAACTCTGCCTGCATCTGGCTCTGTTGAGGGAGAGCTATCCCTTGCCAAGAGACGGAACTGAGCCAGACCACAGAGAACTTATGTGGCCAACTTACCCATAGCATCCTCAACAAAAAAAAAAAAAAAAAAAAAAAAAAAAACTGAACATTTTTAATTTAAAAAATTGTAATTACTATATAACTACATTGCTTCTCCCATGTCCTTTTTCCCTCTCCCACATACTCGCCCCTTGCTCTCTCAAATCCCTGCCTCTTCCTTAATTGTTGTGATGTATAAACTCCTAAATATATCAATGCAAACTACTCAGTCTGTATAATGCCAGCAGCATTTTTTAGGGTACACTTAATCTACAAGACGCAGAGAGATACCCTGGAGACAACAGAAACAGGAGAAGACCAGAGATCTAAAGAAATTTAGAGACAAAATTACCAACCCCACCAGCGACCTCCCTCCCTCCCTCCCTCCAGACAGAACCAAGTCTCCCTGCAGTCTTGGACTCTGTTAGGGGACACCTTACCTTACTGTGCCTCCCACCAGGCGCCACCTGTTCCTGAGACTCCTCACAGACAGCCCCAAAGCTGCAAGCCACGCTGAGCGCTAGGATGGTGGTGATCAGCATGGAGCTCCTCATGGTGTCTAAATGGTAAAAGGAGGAAGACACAGCTTGGTGGGAACCCGGCAGGCCATCCTGACCAGCAGGTGGGCTCCTTCACGCTCTCCCAGCTCTCCCAGCTCTCCCAGCTAGCTCTCCACCTCCCCTATCCAAGCCCTGATCTGAAGAGAATGAGCTGCATCTTTGAGAAGGGGGGGTCCCCCCATCAAACATCTCCCCAGGATCTTCCCATCAAGGAGCAGTGACCTGTGCTGGTGTCTCTGGATGATAGACTCACAGGGTGTGCACTGGTCTGTGTCTTTACCTAGCTTGAGAGGGGACCCCGGATACTGTCTTACAGTGCTAGATAACCCCGAGACTTCGAGAAAAACTTTCTAACATGTAAGAATCAGTCTTGATGCTGGCCCCAAACCAAACGTTAACAGCTCCCCGTCCTCAGGCCTTTTTCGCTTTCCTTCCTGGTACCCTACTTGCCGGTCAGAGACTGCCCTCTCTTTTATCCCCTTCTGGTTCTCACCCATCATCCTCGGGGCCACCACACCAAACCATCTTCCCGGAACCTACCTGTGGAGCTAGATGGAGGGCTCTGGAGTGCAGGGGCTCTGGAAGGTGGCTCCTGCCTTCCCAGTCCCAGCTCCCTGATAAAGGTTCTGGGAGGGTTTGGGGGAGCCGAGGGGAGGGGCTGAGAGTCACCAATCCCAGGGTGGCTGGAGGGGAGGAGGAAAGCTGGTAGGGGAGAAGACACAGGCTGCAGTCACACACCCAGACACGCAGGCTCACGCACGCACACACACACACACACACACACACACACACACACACACACACAGGACCAGCAGCGAGCTACAGTTGTCCAGCAGCCCGCTTTCCAAAGGCACCCAAGGCAGGCACTCTAAGGAATGCCGTTGTATGTGATTTCTCACAAAATTGCACGGCAGGTCTAGCTCAGTAGGTGTGACTCCTGGACCTTTTCCTCATAACTCACCAGCTCCTCTCCCTTTAAACCTCCAAGCTTGACAACCGGCCTGGAGCAGCTCACACAGGTGTCTCTGACAGCTGGGGCGGAGGCCCCACTTGAAGACTGGGGATGAGCTGGCTCCTTCTGCCCTGTCCCTCCCAGTGGAAGCTGTCTCTTCTGGTCCTCACCCCAGTGGAGATGCAGGGATGCTGGACTGAAGACTGAGACCCCCCCAGCCTTGGTGACCCCCATATCCACACCCTTTTCCTTCCTGGCTGAATCGGCTGCCTCAGCTGCCTCATGCTGGAGCTCTACCCTCCATCCCTCCTGCTTCAGGGAGAAGGAAATGAACGAACAGCATGACCATGCCCGTCCTGTCCTCACCTTGCTCTGCTTAGCAACGTTCATCTCTTATTTTTCTCAAAGTGCAGACATCTTCTCTGACCCTTCCAGCCCTTGTTTATATCCCACACAGATGAGGGTCTTTTCTATAGTTTCTTAGCCCAGGACGGAGAGACGGGAGACGAGAGCCAGGGTCAGAATTAGAACTCAGAGAAGGCCAATAACACACTGGGAAAGTGGCAACTGGGACCTGGCCACAGGGTGTGGATACACGTATCAGGAGCTTAGATATGCAGTAAGATTAGATATTCCTCACCTTCACAATAGAAATAAGAAATGTACCCATTTTCTGATTAGGAAACTGAGGCCAGAGAGGTTCAGTGACTTGCTCCAGTATACACAGCAATCAGGTTCTTCTTATTCCAAATCTCTCTGTTTGTTTGTTTGTTTGTTTGTTTGAAGACAGGGTTTCCCTGTGTAACACCTCTGGCTGGCCTGGAACTCACTCTGTAAACCAGGCTGACCTCGAACTCACAGAGATCCGCCTGCCACCACCTGCCGGCTAAATCTCTTTTTTCTCTACCTTTGCATGTTGACCTTTGAGGGAAACCATTCGCTCTTCCCTAAGGCACAGAGGACCATCTTTCTGAGTCTCAGAGATTTGGAAACTTCAACCCTTTTACATCTTAGGATGAAGAGAAGGTATTCTGCACCCCCTCTTTACCACAGACTCTTCCAATCCCCGCACTTGAAGTTACTTCCACCCTGTACCCCCTACTCTCGTCTTCCAGCACTTATATCCAACATGCTGATATTTTATCACTTATATTTTATTTCTTGTCTTTGTCAAATATACCAGCTCTACTAAGCATCGCAAAGACAAGGGTTTTTGTTATATGGTATTCCTTGCCCTATAGCATTGGTATATCATAGATGCTCAATAAAAATTTATGAAAAAGGATCCAGACAATGGTGGCGCACGCCTTTAATCCCAGCATTTGGGAGGCAGAGGCAGGTGGATCTTTGTGAATTCAAGGCCAGCCTGGTTTACAAAGGGAGTTTCAGGACAGCCAGGAGTACACAGAGAAACCCTGTCTCAACACCCCCCCACACACACAAAAAAAAAAAAAATCTGAAAAAGAAAGCCAGAGGATTTTTTTGTTTTGTTGTTTTGATTTTGTAAATTTCTACTCCCAAACAGGAACACCTCTGGCATTAATGGGGCCCACATTTCTCCCCTCCCCACATACCCTGTGACTTGAGTCATATAGTGATAGAAAGTCACTGGCTGCACAGGGCCCCTTGTCCACCCCAGAATGTGGGTAGCAGCTGGGTATCAACGTCTCTTTACGATAGGAGAGGCTAATGGGACCTCATTAAAAGCTTCTCGTTGCCCAGTTAATTGCAGGGCTGTGTGTGCAAAGAACATGGACCAGCTCCCAGAGCTGTGAACTTTCGGTGGGAAGAGGAATAGAAGTGGCAGGCTGTTTACATGCAAATGGCATAGCATGTTCATTCGAGAAGCCCAGGTACTGTTTCTTATCGGACCTAGCCTAGATGACTCCTTCTCCTCCTCCTCTCCGATCTGCAACGATCTAAAGACAGAAGGCCAAGGGAGTTAGGCTGTGTGTGCAGGGCAGATGAGTTCAAAAGCTGAGGACCAAAAGCCCAGTGGCCCCAGCTCTGTCAACCCCTCCCCCAACACAGCATCGCCATCCCCGAGCCCCCCAGCCCCGAGCCCTGACGCCAGGGAAGCAGGGGTTCTGCAAAGGTCCCACCATGAATAATGTCCTTTGATGATGCTGTATCTCACAGAGGATGCCAGGCTGGGAGGGAGCTGATCACCCTTGATCTCTAGGATTAGCAAAGACTTGAAAGGGCTGATGCTGACCCAAGTCAGAGAGGGGATGAAGGAGGGAGCTGTTAGGAGCTGAGCCAGGCAGCTTCACTTGGCCCACAAATCATATCCCAATGACAGTCTGTCGCAGCTGTGGAGAGCTGCTACAGACCTATCTATCGAGGTTTCGTGCGTGTTTCTTCTTTATTTGAGGCACATCTCGGATGCTGTCTCCATCAAGAAGACATGAACTCCAGGGCCTGGAGCGGCATCCCTGACTCCACTGTATGTATGTGCAATCAGTTGTACAGAGGTGAGATGGGTTAGATGGCCGTTCTCTAGGGACACAAAGCTGTGTGCTTGCCCAGCATGTGCTCAGCAGCAGACTCCTCCGTATCTTGGAGAGATGCTGAGGAGGGGGTGGGGTGGCCCTGTGTGAGTGACACTGGACAGAGAAGGACAGGACGGCAGTTCTCTGTCAGCCGGAACCTGCATCGAGAGCTAGGAAGAGGCCCTGAGGGTACAGGGGGCACGTGGCTGAGCCCGGACTGTTTTAGAGCTGGATTGAGACAGGAGGCCCTTGAGTGGCTCCTCAGTGGGGGGAGCCAGGGTGGTCCAGGAGAGCTTGTGGCCCTTAGAGGTTGAGAGTGCTGGCTGTGGTGATGCAGGTTGGTGCAGAACCCATGACAAAAACAGAGTCCTACGGTGAAAGTCTATTTCAGCCCTTCTCCGTAGGTGGGAAACCCATAGGCACAAAAGAGGAGCGCTTGGGACTTCAGGACCCTGGGCTCCAGAAGAGAGGAAAGGAGGCAGGGGGAGGCGGGAGAGGGTGGTGAGCCCCACCCATCCTTGAACCGGCACCCATCAACAAGGAAGAATGGAGACCCAGTTAGCCCTCCCCATCCCCCACCGGGGAGCGGGCGGCTCGCTCAGCCCTGGGTAAAGAAGAGCAGGCTTGTGAGCAGCAGCTGCATTTTCTCCTGAAATTGCTTCTGAAAATGGCCAGACACTTCACCGGGAAAGTGACGACAATTTGGGCCCTGGGAGCAGTAGATGAGGTGGAGAGCGGGGGCGATCAGGCTCAGGTCATCACCCACGCCCAGCCAGACAAGATCTTCCGATTCTGAGAAGTCAAGGTTGGAGTTGTCATCTGGGGAGTGGGAGGCTAGCCAGAGCCCGAGCTGTGGCCTCCAGCCCCACACAGCCCCGACAGGACAGGCTCTAGCCTCTGCTGCCCGGGGCCCACTGCAGCCCAGAGCAGGGTGTGCCAAAGCTGGGGCTTGGGCTCAGAGAGGGGTGGGGGGGAGGGGGAGAAAGAGAGAGAGAGAGAGGGAGAGAGAGGGAGAGAGAGAGAGGGAGAGAGAGAGAGAGGGAGAGAGAGATTAATCTGCAGGCAGGAAGGGTAGTTAATCAGGTCCCTGCCAGCGTGATTACTTGGACCCGTGAGCTGCCTAGCGATGGAGGCTGCAAGAGATCCAGCCTCAGCTCAGTGGAGAAGGCGTGGAGGAGGCAGGGGGAGGCAGGCAGGGGGAGGTGGGGAGAGACATCCAGAGACACCCCTCCCTAATCTCTCCCTGGGTACAGATCTAAATTTCATGGCTGTGTGCAGCATGTTCCCAAAAGACAGAACAGGGTAGCGAGACAAGGCCGTCTCTGAGGAGAGAGATGAAGGGCGGGGAGGAAGGTATACAGCAGTAGCTTTCTAAAAGACATTACAGATTAACAATGTCGAAGCCCACACAAACCGGGACAGTGAGGTGGCGTGACAGTCCGAGACCGAGAACAAATAATGACCGTGACACAGAGAAAATGAAAGAGGACAAGAGGAAAGGAGTCAGTTCTAGAAAGTCTACCCGTCAAGGGCCACCAGCTGTGGGACAGCGGCCGGCGGCAGCTTGGCATCTCTGGGGCACAGAGAGGGAGAGGGTTCCTGGGAGGCAGGTGTGGTGCAGCCCTCCTCTGGGGTAGAGAACGATAGACATACCAGGGGCAGGGTCCCCGCATACCCCGGTTTGCCTCAGCTTGCATGGGCCTGCAGCCTTGGGCTTCTTTTCCAGGCCACATCTCCAAGGAACCTAGTCTCCAAGGCAGGCACCCTCAAGTCTTCCCTCAGGGACACACTTAATGAATCAGCTCATCGGCCACCGGCCACCTGAGCCCTATCCCGGACTCCCACACCCCACCCCAGTCTCCACCAGAGCTCAGCCGGTCGAGGAGGCCAGAGACAATTCCCCTTCTTTTCCTTATTGTTCGTCCTGTCTGGTTCCCAGGAGCCTAAGGGGACACATGGCGGGGGGGGGGGGAGGATGGGGTTGGAGGGCCCAAGAATAACTGGGCAAAACTCACAGTCACGTAAGTCAACAAATGTACGCAACAGAGCCAGGAGATAGCATGGACCCACCAACACTGCCCACACCTTTTTAAGCCATGATTTATTAGTGGGCAACTGGGATTCTGGGAAGGTCCAGGGAACAGAAAGGCCGTCTTCAAGGGTCCCAGCTCTGAGCCCCACCTCGAGATCAGAAGAGCTAGACAAAGGTTCTGGTCCAGAGGAAGAAGCTGCATCCCCAGGAGGCCCTGGCCTCCTCACGTGCGCACAGTGACCTCCATGGAGCGACTGCCCTTCTTCTTGCAAACCAACTTGCCGTTCCCATTCCCCTGGGGACCCTGGGTAACCCTGACAGCCACACTGCTCTCCTTGAACTTCACTGAGAAACTGGAGGGAGAAGAAGAAGCAGACGGGAGCTAAGGCCTCCATCCCCTTTGTGCACGGCCTCCTCTCCCCGGAGCAAGGGAGCAAGCGCACACCCCCACCCACCCGATGACTCAAGGCCCCAGAGAACGTGGTGCTCAGAGCACAGTGGCGAGGGGAGGGAGGTGTGGACAGCCACTGAGAAAAACCTCCAAGCCCTGCCCTGCCACCGTCTGCTTCGCTTTCTCATTACACGAATTTCCCGGTCACAATGACCAGGAGTCCGGTCATCTGTCCCAAGCTGTCCCTCATCACCAGCTCATGGCCTTACTTCTCAGTCACAGTGACAGGGAGCTGCTTCTGTGTGGCATCCAGCACAGCTTGGTACATCTTTGTGAGCAGTTCAACCACGTGGTCGCTGATCAGCAGGATGTCCCCCTTGGAGTCTGCCGACGGCATCTGAGGAAGAGGGGAGATTAATTTTTCCTTCCTTGGGAGCAGCCTGAGGGACATCAGAGACCCACAGTGCGTTTCCTTCTAGCATATCCAGTCCACCTGGCCCAGGGTGCACACTCTGGAGACCTCCCCCATGTAGCGCAGATACCTCACTCAGGTGTAAGCCGAGGAGGCCATCCTGGAGGCTGGTGACTGTCACCCCAGTCACGTTCTCCAGCCCAATGACAATTTGGGCCTGGGACTTCTTGGCATCTGTGAGAATCACGTGACGCTTGGTGAGGAGGAGAATCCGGGCAGAAGTCTAGAGAGGACACAGGAAATAGCTAGGTCGGGCACTGTCACCCACCCCTGCCACTGGGGAAACTCGGTAGCTGGCCCGGCCCTTTCCCCTGTGGGGGCCCTGGTCTTTACCTTGCCATTACCACGGTTGACTTTCTTCACCGTGTCTGCCAGCAGGATAGGCCCTTCCTCCCCGCCCTTCAGTTTCTGCAGCTTGGGGTTCCCCTGCAGCCCAATGTAATCCCCGCGGAATGGAATCGGGACACTGGGGGCACAGGAGGGGTGTGCTGTGAGAACGAGGCCCTGCGCACCTCCCTGAGGGCCACGCCCCCTCCTCCCCCATCTCATTTCAGTCATCCGATGATATGATCCAGGATCCAGAACTAACGCCATCCATGGACACCGCAGTGTCCCCCTCCCACGCCTGCTGGCCAGAGACTGTCCCCAGTCCTCCCAGGCTCAAGCTTGAGAGGCGGCCAGGCGACAGAAACAGCTGCAGCATCTGCAGGCCCTCACCTCTGGGGGTAGGAAGCCTTCTTGCCCTTGAGCAATTCACTGGCACAGAGCTTCTCCCTCAGCATCTGCACCTGCCTCGGGGACAGCTGATCTCGGAACTTCTTGCACTACGAGGAGGAGAAAGCTCGGATCACAGAGGTGTAAGCCAGGGCTAGGGAGCAAAGTGAGGGAAAAGGGAGGAGAGGACACGGGGGAGTGACAGACTAGACACCAAGGGACCAACTGAAGGGAGTGGAAGAGAAAGTGTCAATACAAGCCCCTGGAAAGCCCAGCACACAGGGCCGGGCCTAGCCTACATGGGCGTCCTACTGTATTTCCTGGAACAAAGAAACCCAGACCACACTATGACGTGTCCTTCTCAGACACGAGAAGGACAAATATTGTGTGCCTGCCGCCTCCAGGCGTTTCCTACAAAAGCGAAAGTCATTGAAATAGAAAGTAGAGGGAGGTCAGGTCAAAAGGGCAAAGAAGAACAGAGGTATGAGAGAGGGTGGTGGCAATGGCCTCCCAACAACCTGGACGCACTTGATGCCAGAACTCCAACACTTAGAAAGAGGAGCATGATTGATGCTGCGTGTGTGCAATCTACCAGGGTAAAGGGTAAAGGGACCTGGGGCAAAGTAAGGGGGCGGGGCAAAGTAAGGGGGCGGGGCGTGTCACCCTAGAGATGGGTGGAGCCTGACCTCACCTTCCACTGGTAGAAGAGGCGTTGCAGCTCCTGATTGGCTGAATTGAAGCACTTGTAAGGGGCAGCTGGCCATGTGTTGTCCAAGACTTTGGTGGATGGTAAATTCTTCTTCAGATCCAGGAAAAATTTCTGTGCCTGCGTGAAAAGTAGAGGCTCGGGAACAGGGTCATGAGAAGAGCCACTTTCAGGATGGCAGACTCACACCCAGGTCCTGCCACTCAAAGAGGAAAGCAGCCCCCTCCTGAGACGCAGGGGCAGAGCTGAAGAGGCGGGTCAGTGTTGCCTCTCTGGTCTCTGGCATTGAGCACTGTGCTTTGAGATGGAAAGCTCTGGGACACAAGGACCTGACACCCAGGGCAGTGAGGTTGGGTGATCCAACATCAAAGCTAGTCTCTATATATTGTTCCCCTGGCTTTTGTCTCTCAGGTCACAATGACCTACAGTTGGGGCTATTGTCTGCGTTGGTTATTAGATGGACATCACATCTGCCCTCCTCTCTAATCAACGGTGCCTGACACCTCACCCTCCATTCAAACCCTCCACTTGGAGTTCAGGGTGCTGTCCCAGAACCCTCTGGATTCCCAGTGTCCCAACCAGAAAGGCCCCTCACCACAGCCCTCACCATAGCCCCTCCTTCTTGGCATGCTCAAGGACAATGGCGGCCAGCCTACTTCTGGCTGATCAGATGTTTCAGCTCCGCCCTCAGGGATTCTATCCAGTGTGTGAGCTGCAGCTCAAAGTCCTCACAGATGCCCCAGCATCGCCCACACTACCCTTCCAGCCGGTGTGGAGTTGCCCAGCATGGGCTTTTTCAGGATCTCCAGAGTCTAAGCCTGCCTAGAGCCATGGGCTGCCAAAACGTCTGTTACAAGACAATCTTAGGCAATGGCTGGAAGCTCAGAAATTAAATACTTCACCAGCCCTACCATTGGTCAGCTACTGGCCCGGGGAAAATGATTCAGCCTCTCTAAGTCTTAGCTTGTTTTGTTTTTGTTTTGAGATAGGCTCTCACTATGTATGACGCTCTGGCTGGCCTGACACTTGCTGTGTAGACCAAGCTGATCTCCACCTCACAGAGATTTGCCTACCTCTCCCTACCCCCCAAGTGCTGGAATCAAAGGTATACATCACCACACCTGGCCCGCGTCTTAGTTTTTTTAACCTGTCAAGTCGGAGAAAGCAGGGGCCTTGGAGTTAAGCATGGGAGGGTTGTAGCATATTGTCAGTCCTGGAAGCCTTGGAAGAACCAAGGACCCAGGACTCTTGGGGTGTGATTTATGGGACCACACAGCTCCCAGGTGATGTTCAGCAGCAGCAGTGCGGGTGAAAGAAAAGTTGAAAGACGGAACTGTCAAGAGGTGAAGTGCAAAATCGGAACACAGACCTCGGGTGTCTAGCAAAACAGCACGTACTGTGGGGAGAGACAGCATGGTGGAGCCAGCCCAACAGGCCAGGCTAGCATGGGGCCGGGGAGAAGGAGAAGGGAGAGAAAGGCAGAGGGCGTCAGGTGCCGCTTCAGAGCCCCACCTCTCCCCAGCCAAACAGTCCTGGCTTAGCGATGACAAAGTCAGTGCCAAACGCAGGCACCTCATGCTCAACTGAGCGTCCCTGGCTAAAGCTAACAAACGCCGTTGCCTAAGGTCAGTTACACGCCTTCCTGCAGCCCACAGGCTAAGGCCCCCTATGTTCCATCGTGTCTGGCTTTTACCCAAGGCTTCACTGCGGGACTGTCCCCTCTGTGGCTTTCTCGGTATCCTCTGGGAAGTGCCACCCCTACCTAACAGACATCCTGCCGGAAGCCATCCACAGAGACGCCCCACCTCACCCCTCACTCGTCTGGGCATTCAGAGGAGACGGACACCAGCCAGATGTGATTCCTTTGACCTCCAATTGGAGGTCAGGCTAGTTAACCCTGCGTCCTCATTACCCACTTACTTCCATAAGAAGGCTAACTCTCCAGCCCTTCTCCCCCAGGTCTGTGTGTTTTCTCTGCTCAGACAGGAATGCCACCACTGTCTACAGCCAGCCTACCACCCTGAACGTGCCAGATCTCATCTGATCTTGGAGGCTAAGCAGGGTCTGGTTAGTACTTAGTACTTGGATGGGAATACCAGGATACACTTGAGCCAAGCGATGTGGTTGTGGCCACAGACGTCAGAGCCTGCTCCCAGTGTGTGACTGTCCTAGCTCATAGAGTGACAGTGCTCCGAGGGGAAGCTTGGAACCAACCACCTCCCCATGCTCCCCCAAGACTGCCCCAACTCCTCTGCCAGACTCACGCCTTAGCCCCCACACTTACGATGCTTGCATAGATAAAATTTGACAAGGTTAGGGCAGCGCCTGACCGGAAGTATTTTCGATAATTCTTGCGGGCCTAGAAGGATGAGTGAGGAAGATGTCAGCACGGGACAGAGCCTAGGAGAGGTTCTGCTATTTGTTTTCAACACAAGTAGAGTCAGAAAAATAAATAAACAAAGGCTGAGATTTATAACACGAAAAATGATTCCAAGTCACCAACAGATACAGGCAGAAACACACCCAGACCTGCACACCAGTCTGCTGCATAGGCCAGAGCAGGAGGTAGGTCTCAGCGTCACGACACGACACATAAGCTCTTCCTTACCTTCCAGCCTCTCACAAAAGCCTGGATCAGCATTGCTGATACCTTCATCTTCTCATAGTGCCTCTTTTGCTGTGGGAAACATGGGCACTGTTAGAAAAAAGCTACATGGTAACCCACCCACCCCTGCAGCAGGAGTGATGAGGGTGGGAAGGGCTGGAACCTTGTTGCCCCGAAACCAAGCGGAGATGAGAATCTGACTCTTGCGCATCTGCTGGTAGTAGGTCCGACAGCGCCAGCCGCGGTAGACCTTCTGTATGAGGGTGGCCAGCTGCTGGAGCCTCCGGCGCCTTTGTTCCTCCAGGTAGAAAAGCTGGGGTGGAGGCGAAGAGGGGCTTGCTCTCCCTTGCACTACACGGGGCGGAAGCTCCCCAACCTGCCCATCTTTTAGTGCCTACTCCAACCAGGCCAGGCCCCTTGGTGAGCTCCTAGCTTAGGGTAGGGAAGGTCAAGCACTCGGTCCCCAGAGTGGTGTCTTCCTCATGACCCATCCAGTCCTGCATGGGATGCTACCTTCTTCCCTGCTACACTCCTTCTCAGGGGAGCCCCTCACAGGCCCACATTCTACCCCCACCAAATGCAACCCACCCACTTCCTGACTCACAGTCTTGGGGCTTCTGATAAAGATCTTTGTCTTCCCATAGGCCATCTCCTCTGAAGACACAGCCACAGACTCCAGGACCTTCTCCACACCTTCCCTACAGGGGCAGATGGGGACAGCTGTGGAGAGGTGTGTTGGGCAGGGTCCTCATCCCCACCTCCCCTATCCCTCTGAGGCCCTGTTGAAGAGAAGCATCATTTCCCCCCAGGAAGCCATTCCCCCTCTTCAGAAGAGTTGCTCAGCCCCTCTCTCCCCGCTGGGTCTTACCGGTCTCCCCCATTCCAGTGAGGCCAGGTGCTGCGGCTCAGCAATCGGTACCTTTCCAGGAAAGGCTTATAGACCTGGCGATGGGCATAGCCAGCCCTACGCACCCGAACATTCTCCAGCAGCCCCAGGTATCGGGCCTGGACCACAGCCAGCTCTGGGGAGAACCGCCCTTTCTGTTGCTGGTCGTTAGGCTTTATGCACCTGGTCAGGAAGACGGAAAGACACAGGCTCAGGAGCAGACTCCATGCCAAGGATGCTGCCTGGATCTTCCAGGGCCTACTCCCCACAACCCCAAGGTGGGGATTTCAGTAGAAGTGAAAGGAGACCCTCTTGGCCTCCCCAGTTTCTCTCTCTTCCGACGCCATCCTCCCTGCCATAGGGTGCTCGGCTGGCTCCTCATCTGGTCCCTTCCTCCATGAGGACTGAGCTCCAGCACCCTATGCCAGGGTCTCCCCAACACATACGTGTTCTGCCAGGCGTGGACCTCATCCCACATGAAGGATGTTCCCCTGTGTGTCCAGCTTTTCACCTGATGTAGTTGGGGTTCTTAGAATACAGGTTCTTCATGAGTATGGCCACCGAATTCTTAAACTGGGTCCCAGCGGTGGGGGGACGTTTGAGAGATGCTTCCTTGGGATTACCCTCTGGGAACAAGGATCGAAGGAGGGGATGCTGGGCCTTCCACATTGTCTGGGATAGGTCTCGGAAGAGCAGGTCGTTATTCTTGTCGATGAAGCCGGTTACGTTGTACGTCACCTGCAGAGGAGCCGACGTGGGTTCAGACGCCAGGGCCTACTTCCGGCGCCTGGACGCGCTCTCGGCTCTCATTTGCACACCCGCCTCTGCCTCTGGCTGCCACACAGCCTTACTGCATCACCTTGCCCGCATAGTGGCAGATTCGGAAGCAGCTGAGGCCCATGGTGTGGTCGTACTGGCGCTGGGCATTCTGGGTGACTTTGCTCTCGTAATGACTGTGCTTTGAGAACAGCTGGTTCAGCTTTGCTAGGAAAGTTGAGTCGCTGACCACCCCAGGCCTCAGGCACTCCTCGTCCAGCATGGCCAGGATGCCTCGCTGACTCTGGGTCAAGGGGACAAGATCGGTGTAGGCTTGACCTGGTCCTTCAAGATGTCCACATTATCACTGCTGCCCCTCAACCCCCTCTTTTTCTGTCACCCTCACCAAGGTAGGGGGGAGGCAGGGGAAGGGGGAATTTCAGGCGGTCTGGAGAGGGAGGCCCCGGGACTGAGAGAACAGCCACTCACGTGCTCAATGAGGTTACAGATGATGCCGTTGTCAAAGTACTCCACCTTTGTCCACGGAATGCCCTGGCAAAGGGAGACACCAGTTATACAAACAAGCCCAGGGAATCTCCAAAGTCCTCGCCAGACCCCGCTCCTTTAACCCACCCTGGAAGGAACTTCTGAACGCCCTGTCACTCAGGGAGGACCTTGGTGTGATTCTGTTTACAGCCCAGTCCTCCCAGGATGGCGGAGATTGTGCGTGTGAGTGTGTGTGCGTGTGAGCGTGTGAGTGTGTGTGAGCGTGTGAGTGTGTGTGTGTGTGTGTGTCGGGGAGTGGGTAGGCACACAGCAGAAACCAGAGCCAATGCCAAAGGTCTGGAGATGGTGCAGGCTAGGAGGGAAACGTGTCAGGCGTAGGTAGGAGCAGAGAAGGACCCACACACACGGGGAAGAGGAACAATAACTACAGTGTTGGGACACGATCGAAACATCTAGAGAACGTGAGCGGTGCCGTTACCCAGCAACAAAGTCAATCCCATGCATCTTCAAAGGTCCACACCTGTGGTCTTAGTTCAACAGCGCTCACCATGCTAAAACACAGGCTGCTTGCCACCCTACGCTCACTGTGCATCTCAGCACGTCTGGGGTGCACCCAGACATCGACATTTCCAGCCTGCCTCCAGTGGTGTGGTTGCATCCGGTCCAGGACCACACACATTTCAAAAACTGCCGATCCAGGACTGAGGTGTCTCACTGGATAAATGTGCCTGTTGCCAAGCCTGACAACCTGAGTTCTATCCCCAGGATCCACTTGCTTGATGGAGAGAATCAACTTCTCTAGGCTGTCCTCTGACCTCCACACAAAGTCTGTGACACATACATGCCCAACACACACACATACACACACACACACACACACACAAGACACGACACAAACAACCACACACAACATACACACAACACACACACAAATAAATAACGATTCTTTTAGACTGTAACTTTTGAAAACACGGCTTGCTCTCATGCTCTCTGCTTTGAGTTCTCGCTGAACTTGACACTTACAGGAAGCTGTCATAATCCCTTCCCAGGGGCCAGACCACTCGGGTGGAGCCTTACCCAAACGTAGGCTACGGCACACAAGCCTTTGCCTCTTCCCTCACAGTTCCTTAGAGAAAAGAGACCGAAACTCAGTCTCCATGAAGTTGCCTTCCTACATCTTCCCAAAATACCTTTCCCAATGGGCTAAGTGAAATATGACACCCTTGTCATGCCACACAGCCACAAAAAGGATTATCTTGCTAAGCGATGACAAGTACAGAACAGGGTGTATTTACTGGCTTTTATATATGATATATATATACATATACACATAATTGGTAAAAGACCTTCTGGTCTTTGTGGGGAGGAAAAATGGAGTGTTTAGGGGCAGAGGTGAAAGACTTTTATTCACCTACTTTTAAAAGTTTTTCAAGGGGCTGGAGAGATGGCTCAGAAGTTAAGAGCACTGGCTGCTCTTCCAGAGGATCTGAGTTCAATTCCCAGCAACCACATGGTGCCTCACAACCATCTGTAATGGGATCTGGTACCCTCTTCTGGTCTGCAGGCACACGTGCAGGCAGAATACTGTATACATGATAAATAAATCTTTAAAAAAATTTTTTTTTTTTTGTATTTTGAAATAGAGGAATGTATCACCTCTGAGCATTTAACTTGTTAAAACAAAAAAATATGTGAAACCACGTTTTAAAAGTCTTCCGTGCATTGTAGCTGAAAGGCTTTCTGTAGAGACCAGCCCTCGAGAGCTCACAGGGGACGTCTCTGGAAGGGTTTAGGGAGTGAGACTGTGCCGCTTATTTGCTCACACTTGGAAGACAACTGGCTTAATCAGAGAGCTTATCTAACACCTAGCCATGGGACACAGGGGTTTACAGTGAGTCAGAGAAGGAGTGTGGAAATCCACCACCACAGGGTACTTCTGTGAGTCACTCTAGAGTAATGCAGCTCTCACAGCAGACAGCAACATCACCCTGGGCCCCAGGGAAGGCAAAGGATCTGACGCGTTAGCAGAGATGGACGTGCAGGGTGCCAAGCCCAGGAGAAATGTCCCTTCTCGATTTGTCTTGCAGTCTGCCACGGGCCAAGCACAGCTGTCAGTTCACTCATATCAGGACTCCACACACAAACAGCCTTCCATCCATCTGTGCCTCCCTGACTGGCTGGCCTGCGGTGGAAGGCTAGGGACACGGGAGATGGGAAGCCGGGTGAGTTAGAAATCCTGAGTGCTCAGCTCTGGGAGGGAAACATTTCGGCCTTTGTGTTCCCATCTGGGGACAATGAGAAGGACGCTGTGACGGAGAAGAAGGGCATACGTCTGGAAGCCCCTTAGCAGGGCGGGAGGAGGCCCCTTAGCAGGGCGGGAGGAGACTGGGCCCACCTCTCTCTTATACTCCTCTTGTTCCTCCTTCAAGGTCAGCTCTATGAACACCTGCTGTAGTTTCTCGTTGCAGTAGTTGATCACGAACTGCTCGAAGCTATTATCCTAGGAGGGGAAGGACGGTGGCTTACCTCAGACCCTCCCTCCCTCACGGCCCCTCTCTCACCCACCGTGAGCAGGCCCCCCCTGCCCCACCCCACAACGGGGAAGCAGGCGACTGAAGTGGGCTGATGTCCCTCACCTCCAGTATCTCAAATCCATAGATATCCAGGACTCCCATAACCTTTCTTTTTTCCTCGGTGTCCACCTGAAGAAGAGGGGACAAGTGTGAGGGATGGAATGGCCCCCTGGGCACGCCAGGTGGATAGGGTTAGGGTAGGGACAAGCAGAGCTGTAGTAAGCTTGACCAAGCTGGACAGGAACTGTGGTGTCCACCGTCCTCTCGCATCTCCTCAGGACAAGCAGAGGAGGAGGACGGAAGGAAGGGAAGACACAAATGGATTCCACCATGACACCAAGGAGGAAGACATTAAACGCTCTTAGGACAGTGGTTCGGAACCTTCCTAACGCTCCGCTCGCTGTGGCCCTGTAATACAGTTCCTCGTGTGGTGGTGACTCCTCCCCTGCAACATTATTTTCATTGCTATTTCGTAACTGTAAATTTGCCACTGTTAATAATCATAATGTAAATATCTGTGTTTCTCGATGGCCTTAGGCAACCCCTGTGAAAGGGCCGTCCAACCCCCTAAGGGGCCACGACATACAGGATGAGGACACACTGCCATTAGAGGCATGGTAAAGAAATGCACAACATATACACTACGTGGCTTTTATTCAGCTATAAAGAAGAATCAAATTATGTCATTTGTATTGATGTGTATTGATTAGTGGCTGCTGCCAAATCAGGAAACTGAGGCCCACTGTCCTTTTGTTTTGTTTTGTTTGTATTTCTCTCTACAATAGCTCTGGCTGTCCTAGAACTCTCTCTCTGTAGACCAGGCTGACTTCAAACTCACAGAGATCCACCTGTCTCTGCCTCCCAAGTGCTGTGATTAACGGTGTGCACCACCACCGCCAGGCAAGGCTCAGTATCCATGAAGATGAAAGACCAGTTAAGAGCTGGACCTGACTGTAGGACTCAAACTCCTAGAAGGTGGGGTGCCTTCCTCCTCACGTCCCTCTCTCGGTGTGCTTCAGAAACCAGAGACTGGAGCCGGCAGCCAGGGCAAGAAGATGGGGCGGGCTCTGGGAAGGCTGCCTCTCACCTTGATGCTCTCATTGATGCGATTCACTATCCAGTCAAAGAGGCGGCTGTAAACATTCTTAGCCAGGGCATCCCGAGCGTATTGAGCCTGGTGGGGGGGCAGTCTCATTAATGTGTGGCAGCCCCAGGACAGCCTCAAAGTCAGCTCCTCCGAGAGGGCTCTCACCTGCGTGACATTCAGTGCCGTGACCACCTTTTCTTTGGCTGTCTCCATGGTTCTCGAGCACAAAGCTCTGTCTAGTTCCACCGAACTCAAACCCATCATCTCCCCAATCTCCCGGATATCTAGAATGACAGAGAGGTCCAAGGTGGCCAGCGAGGGGACCTCATCTCAGTGGGGTGGGGCCTGGATGACCGGCCGGTGACCCACTTTGGCTGGGGAGGTCACTGCCGTTGACTCAGGAGGACAGGGACACACTGCCCTGCAGGATCTACTTTCATGTGAGAATCTCCTGAAGCAGGCCAGACTGTCGTCATGTCTCAGAAGACTCAGCTAAGGCTCTGAGAGCTGCAGACTAAAGCCGAAACACTTCCAGGAGCTCATTCCAAAGTGCTTTGGAGAGCGATGGGAAGTCCCTTTGGAGGGGACCTGAGGAGTGGTCTGAGTATGAGTGTACCAGGTGAAGCCAATCACGCTGGAGTACAGAAACTGGACTCTGAGTAAGGCATTCAGAGCGGGCTCCAGCAAGGTGGTGATGGGGGATGTCCTTGTGTATGTATGTTTCTTATTGTTTGATGAATAAAACACTGTTAGGCCAATAGAGGCAGGAAGATAGGCGGGACTAGGAGATGAACAGAATTCTGGGAAAGGGAGGCGGAGTGAGGCCTGGAAGAGATGCTATGTAGCCTCCAGAGTAACAGATCCTGGCATCCCCTGGAAAGCCAATACCACATGAAAATATATAGATTTGTAGAAATGGGTTAATAAGACAGAGGTAGCCAATAAGAAGACCTCGCCATCAGCCAACAGTTTAATAATTAATATATGTCTCCGTGTGCTTATTTGGGGCTGAAGGGGCTGTGGGAGGAGGCGGGACAAAAACCTCCATCTACAAGGTGGCACCAACCTTTCCCGTCAGAGATGCCGCTTGCTGGTATCCCGTTGGACTGGAACTCATCTGTCAGCTTCACATTCCCCAGCTTCAGCACCAGAGCAGTCACCTCCAGCACTTGCCTGATCTCATCCTCCGAGAACCCAATCACTGACATGGCACTCTTGGGAAGGAAACAGGAAGTGAGCTGAGCTAGTGGGGTCAGCCCAGTGGCCCCACTCACAAATCCTGGGCTCAGCTGCCTCCCTCACCTGTGCAGCCCTGAAGTTGGAGGCGTCATCCATGCCACACACTCTGGACACATCCCCATTCAGGTAGGTGTAGTGACTTGCATCCTGCTCAAGCTTCAGGGCCCCTGGAAGGGTGAGTATAGAGGGGAAGGGTTGGCATGTGCCATCACCCCATGACCCTTACCCCTTTGGATGGGGTTAATATTCCGAGGACAGCAAACTGACTTTTTGTTTGTTTGTTTTTCGAGACAGAGTTTCTCTGTATTGTTTTGGAGTCTGTCCTGGAATTAGCTCTGTAGTCAGGCTGGCCTGGAACTCACAGAGATCCATCCACCTGCTTCTGCCTCCTGCGTGCTGGGATTAAAGGCGTGGGCCACTACCACCTGGATCTAACTTTTTTTTAAGTTTTTTTTTATTTTATGATGATTGGTGTTTTGACTGCATGCATGTCTGTGTAAAGGTGTCAGAAGCCCTGGAACTGGGGTTACAGACAGTCGTGAGCGGCCATGTGGGTGCTGGGAATTGAACCCAGGTGCTCTGAAGAGCAGCCAGTGCTCTTAACCACTGAGACATCGCTCCAGTCCCAGTAACCTAACTTTTAAAGTGGTTTTTTAGGGCTTGGCATTCGTACCTGCTGGAGAGTTGCACAAGAGTCTCACTGGTTTTTATTCCCACCCTTAGGGTCCTAGACATTGAAAACAATCAAGCAAACCCTCTCTCCTGCTCAGGCAAGTAAGCCAGGGCTGAACGGAAAAGACCTATCTGCCTGCAGCCTCAACGCCCTGTGCTGTGTCAACACATCCTAAAATCTGTTCCCTGGCCCTGCTGCCTCTTCTGGAAGGTTCTCTCCAGTGCTGACAGCAACGCCTAAAGGTTTTCCTGTGTTCCCCTGAGGTAAATGCAACTCTCCCAGTCCACATCATGAGAGCTAGGTTTTGATTTTTTTTTTTCTGTCTTCCCCCAAAATGAGTGATTTGCATGTTGAGGCTGCTTTTCATCTCCATATTCTGTGCTGGCAAACAGGAGATGGGAAGAGTTGGGCAGATCATAAGCTGGGGCATGTCAATTATATTTTATGCAAATGATCTGAGAATCAGAGTAGTGAGCATCGGACTGGAGTTGGTGGAGGTTCCCTCTACCACACAGAGTCTGAAATAGGAGCTTCCTGAGGAAGGGAAGCTAGAGAGAGAATGAGTCAGACAACCTGGGGATAATCACTTCAGGCAGACTCACCCAGACTCAACTTAAACTAACAGTATGGACCCAGCCAGAATAAAACCCTAGTGCCTGTGAGTCATACAAATTGAACAGCATTAAGGCCATTAAGCCAAGAAGTGGGAGGATAAGACAGACCCATGGAGAAACTGGAGGGACAGCTCAGTGGTTAAGAGCACTGGATGCTCTTCCAAAGGACCTGGGTTCAACTCCCAGCTCCCACAGAGCAGCTCACAACTGTCTGTAACCCCAGTTCCAGGGGATCTGACGCCTTTACACAGATATACATGCAGACAAAACACCAATGAACATAAAATAAAAATAAATTGTGCGTGGGGGGGGCAGACCCACGGAGTCTCCGGAACCACAGAGATTTCAAGGAGCTGAAAAAGGCTATGCAAAAGCCAAGCATAGAATAACAAGGAACAGAAGAGATGGCTCCTTGGGGGCTGGGAACCCATGGCTCTCACAGCTAGAGGGGAGACTGAGAGACAAATGCTTGGCAGGTGCGAAGTCCCACCTCTGGCCAATCCAGTTTTCAGGCTGTTGTGGGCACTTCCCCAGGACAGGCAAGGGGATTCATGCTGTCCACTCCTACAGTTAGTTATCTGGGACCAACAGACTGCATGGCAGTGTGTCTGTTCCCACGCCTGCTATCCCTACAAGATGGCGTCCTTTGATGACAGATGATGCACATCATCCTCAGATCTATCGCTAAACCCTAACGTAATGCCCGTCAGGTGTTCAAGAGGCGTTTGATGGATGGATGAAGGAAGGAAACCTCTAAGCTAAGAATAGAAAACCAGGGAGGACTTCCGGGTGATGGTGGCGTACACTTTAATCCCTCAGGAGATGAGGCAGGGAGATCTCCGTGAGAGAAACCCTGCCTAGACAAAATAAATAAATAAATAAAGCAAGCAAAAAACCCTAGAAAGCGCCTAGGTGAGGTGGGTGTGTAAGCCGAGGTGCTGTCACCGAAGCTCTTCGGGGTTCTTGAACATGCTCATACCCTGCCTGCTTCTCTGTGTAACCGTCAACAGAACGGCAGCAAGACAAGGAAGGCAAAGACAGGACAGAGCTGTCATGGGATTCATCCTCACCCAGGAGTCATAAGGCTCTGGGTGGGAAGTGCAGGCGAGGCGAAATGGGGAGGGGCTTGAGAGGAGGGAGGGGCCTAGCGTTCTGGGGATAGGACAAGGTTGGGGTGCCTGGCCATGTGTGCAGGAAGAACTCTTACTCAGCAGCTGCGCGTCTGCTCCGGCCAGGAGCTGGTAGAAGATATGGAAGTTCCTTTCTCCTTTGAGCTGCTTCACCACTCGGGATTTCTCCAGCAGATCTGGGGAGGTGTGGGGAAAGCCCTCATGAGAGTCCAGGGGACAACATGACACATCCCTCTAATTCTACCCTGAGCTCCGGTGTTTCCCAAGGGCTGGGGAGTCTCTGCCGGGAGAAGCAGATGAGCAGAGTGAGGGCAGAGTGGGCAGGTGGGAGAGCCACACGGGAGGGAGGGGACACATACAGTTTGTGATGACACCACCAAGGGGGGACCCTTTGAAGTCAAACTCAACATCCATGTATTTTCCCTTCAGAGAGACCAGAGAAAGCCTTGAGCGGAGGGGCGTGTGCTGCCCTGCTCACTCAGCACACGCGTGCACACACACACACACGCACACACATGCGCAGCACATATGCATGCACACACGTACACGCACACACACACTGGCATGCGTGCGTGCGCGCACACACGTGCACACACACATGCACACACATGCGCAGCACATATGCATGCACACACGTACACACACACGCGCATGCACACACACGCGCACACACAGGCACACATACATGCACACATGTACACGCACTCACGCGCGCACACACATGTGCACACACGTGCGCACACACACATGCGCGCGCACACCAGGCACACAGGCAGATGCGGTCACTCACAAATCGAGAGGAGTTGTCATTGCGAATGGTCTTGGCATTGCCGAATGCTGTGGGGATGAAGGAGGGAAAGTGAGAGGACTGTAGCTCCTGAGGGTGTGACTGCAGAGGAGAGAAGGCCCTTGGTGACCACACCCCCCAGGCTACTAGCCAATCACAGGGGTGTTTGTTTGTGCTGAACGGGAGCAGTAGAGGGGTTGGGGTGGAGCAGAGACGGGGGAGGAGGGTGATGGACAGAGTAGGGACCAGGGTGCTCACCCTCCAGCACTGGGTTTGACTGAAGCAGCTGCTCCTTCACTGAGTTCACCTGCTCGCCTTTCCCACAGACGGCAGCCACGTAGGACATCACCAGCTTACTGGCCTCTGTGCACAAGAAGCTCTGAGTCCCCCGCCAGGGCACGCCCACCCCCACCCCCCTGAGCTATCACAGGGCACACCTGCTTCTACCTCCCTAACTCGGACACCTCACTACAGCAGTAAGTAAACAGGAGAAAGATGACTCAGTGTTTAAGAACACTTGCTACTCTTACACACACACACACACAGACACACACAGACACACACACACACACACAGACACACACAGACACACACAGACACACACAGACACACACAGACACACACAGACACACACAGACACACACAGACACACACACACACACAGACACACACACACACACACACACACACACACACACCTGCCCCTCTGTGTAGTCCTGGCTATCCTGGAACTCACTCTGTAGACCAGGTTGGCCTCGAACTCACAGAGATCCACCTGCCTTTGCCTCCTAAGTGCTGGGACTAAAGGCATGCGCCACCAACCACTACCCAGTGTTACATGCTACTACTCATGGTGAAGACCTAGGCTGAGTTCTCAGCACCCTCTTCAGGTGCCTGCATGTATGTGTTGCAAACACACACACACACACACAGAGGACAGAGCCACCTGTCGGGGAGAGAGGAGGAGACGATTCCAGATGTGATCCCCTGGTTCCCTGAACCAGACACCCCTCACCTGTCTTCCCAGCTCCGCTCTCTCCGGTGATGAGGATACACTGGTCCCGGTCCCGGTCCCTCAGTGATTGGTAGGCCACGTTCGCCAAAGCATAGCTGGCAGGAAGGGAGAGGACAATAATGTGACTCCAGCCCAAGAGGGCATCCTTCCGTCCACCCTTCCGTCCACCCTTCCGTCCAGCCTTCCGTCCATAGCATTAGGCCCACCCACCCCCTTCACGTGGATGAGGTTAGGCCCTAAGTGCCAGGCCTAGGGAGGGCTCTTAGGAAAGACGCTGGAGAACCTCCTTTAGGGGAGGGGATGGGGAAAGTTAGGACGCTTCGTGGACATCAAGCTCGAGCTTTGCCAGCCTCCTCTGGTCCCTTTACTCACATGTGGGGTTTCAGCTCATAGAAGGTGTAATCCTGGTATTTGGCAATGAACTCTGGGCCGTAGATGGGAAGCGGCTGGTAGGGATTCACTGAGATCACCACGTTCCCAATGTAGGTCTGGGGTCAGGAGCGGGTTGAAGCAAATGAGCCTGGCAGGAGGAACACCGGGACCCTCTGGGTACCCCACCGCCTGGCACCCATGGTGAGCTCACATAAATCTCCTTGTTTTCGTATCGAAGCTGGAGGTTCTTGATCAGAGAATCCTCATCCAGGGGTTCCAGGAGGACAAGGTCCTCCACCCCCACGGACCCTTCCAGGACAGGCATACCAAGAGGTTGAGGGTCCTAGGTGGAAATACGGTAAATTGCTGCTGCTTGCTCTGCTTAAGGCCTAGGTCATGGCATGGTGGGAGAAGAGGGCAGAAGGGCCTACAGGAGCCTTCTTTTTCCTCTCTGCAGCAGAGTCCTGTAATCAAAAGGGCCTCTGGACCAGCCTGGCCAGCCAGGGAGGTGGAGGGACCCTCTGACCGATGGGTGGGGGTGGGATGGCTGTTAGATAGCTCCATGTTTGTCCACCCTCTGGGGAAGGGTGGCAGTGACAGGGAAGCGGAGCTGTGCATAAAGGAGAAGACTGAAGGAAGTGTGAGCCCAGCTTTGTCCCTCAGCCAGGGACGGAAAGTGCCCCTCCCCCTTCAGGGAGTGCTCCCTGGCTGCATGCCCACTGCCTGTACCCAACCCAACCCCTATCTCAGTCACCTAATCCCTCCACAATCCCTGTCTCCAGAGCTGTCCTCCCTGCCTTCACCACAGTGAATTCATTTTTGGGTGGCGTTGGGCAAGGTGATGAGTTCAAGAATACAGATCGTCCTTCACAAGGGACAGGGACCCCATAGACCGTGGAAGCAGGCCTGTTGCCCCCAGCTGTCTCTAGCTGTCCCTCCTGCTGTCTTTAATTGTAAAATCTTCAGGGTTTATACTCATTCCTATCATCTTCAGGCATGGACTTTGGCTGAAGAGACACACCCCGTTCTTTAGTAGCTGGTGAGAGAGGTTAAGGCGTGCTAGAGGGTGGGCTGTGGGCTGGGCTGCACAAAGCAGGAATATGACAGGTGTTTCTGCCGGAAGAAACAAGCTCTCTGCATGTGGACTGAGTAGGCAGGGCAGCAGAATTGGTACAATGGTCGGTGCCACGCCCAAGCAGGACTATAATGCACATTCCCCCACTCTCCTGCTTCCCTGAACCTAAAGAACAAGGTTAGAGGCAAGGAAGGAACCCTGCCTTCCCCCCCCCCATTCTGCTTTCCCCAAGCTCCAGTAACTTCCTAAATACCTAGGCTGCAATACGAATAACAGCAGTCTCTAGGAAACATGCACCGTTCATCACAGACCAGGCAAGGCTCTCCACACAAACTTGACAGTGACATTAACCCATGAAGTTGATACTCTTGTTATCCCAAAATATCTCAGATTAAAGCTAAGTAGCCATTCATGATGGCTTGTGACTGTGACCACAATATTCAGAAGACTAAGGGAGGAGGATTGCCGTGAGGCCAACCTGAGCTACACAGTGAATTCCAGACCAACCGTAAGTGCAAAGTAAGATCCAGTCTCTCTCCCTCCCTCTCCCTCTCTCTCTCTCACACACACATGCACACAGAGAGAGAGAGAGATGGAGAGAGAGAGGGAGAGGGAAAGAGAGGGAGAGAGAGAGAGGGAGAGGGAGGGAGACGGAGAGGGAGGAGAGAGATTTGAAGCCACTAGGCAGGAGAGGGTGTGAAGCAGAGTTGGGGGACAGTCTTCCAGTTTGAATTGAGAGGAGTTAAGGATGACTATTTGGAGATGAGGAAGGGGAATTAGATCCAGAAGTGCACCCCAAGGTGACAGGTCGAGGCAGGACTTACCCAGCACCAGAACAAGGGTGTACTTCGATGACCCTTGGAGAATGGGGATGGGGAATCCCAGTCTGACGAATCCCAGTCTGACGGGACAGGGATGAACCACAGAGGCTAAGCGTGGAGAGAGGGCTTAGTTAACAGGAGCTGTCCATGGTGTCAGGCAAGCCAGGCGTCCCCTGTCTGACCTTCCTCTGTGCTGCCCGCCTCCTTCAGTCCAGGCCCTCTGTGCCACTCAGCCCAGAAGAGGCCAGAGAGATGGCTGCTCAGCACAAAGTTCAGGGCTGTTCCTGCTGAGGGTGTGGCTCTCTTAACCCTTCATGCGCCTAGGTAGCCCAGCCTCCCTGCATTTAGGGAAAGGCTATCTGCCTGGCTTTTGTGGAGGGTCTCCAGCAAAGAAGACTTCACACCCCACTATACCAAGAACTTGGAAATGAGAGCAAAAGAAACGTTATTTGTAGCCAAGGAAAAAGATTTTCCAAGAAAGAGTTGGTGATTTTGCCATGGATGGGAGCCGGCTGTGTGTGTGTGTGTGTGGGGGGGTCCTCCCTAGCAGAGAAACAGGGTCTCCCTTAAAGCTGCCTTTTTATCTTCCTGGGAGCCTCAGAATCCTCAGACTGCCTGAAAGGCCAAGTGACAAAATTGCAAACTCTGTCCACTTCCCTTCCCGAGTGAGATCTCTTCGTGGAGATCCCCACAGATTAAAGTCTGAGCTACCGCCCACATCACGCACGAGCAGCCCCACCCTGTGAGGCAGGCAGCGCAGACTCTTCGTTCTGTGGGAAAATCTAGAGGCGGACACCATGCTTACATATGACACTTAAGCCCTAGTTCCACAGCTAGCACATCAGGAACCGGGCACAGGCACATACTTCCCAATCTTGTCTGCCAAAGTTCTGAGGTTTCTGTTTTAATCATGTCTCAGCGGTAGAATAGCAAATAAGACCCTGCAATGCTGTTTCCTGGGCATTAGTCCAGCGCAAAAAAACAGCTCCCCTGACACGTAAAAGCTTACAAAAATCCAATTTCCCAACATGCCTTCACCCACCCAGGAAAGTCCTTCAACGGCTCTACCTGCTCTCTTTTCTAGGAATTACACACAAAGAGAAAATTAAATAATCTTATCACTTAACAAAGCAGACTTGATTTTCCAACTCTCAGCTTTTGCTGCTCGGTTCAAGGTCCGTGCTCTATCACCCAAGCAGCACTCTGCACACGCCTGGTCCATCAGTTCCATTTCCAACCTGCCCTTAAATAATTTATTGATTTACTACATCTATTTGAAGGGAGGGAAGCAAGGCACAGAGAAAGCTGAGCAGAAGTGGTATCAAAACATAATCCCCCGTTACGGGGGTGGGGCGGGGCAGTGTAACTGTGTCGGAGCCAGGCTGACCGCTGCTGTGTGGAAGAGACAGATTAAGAAAACACTTTCCCAGGACCACACCACTGCCAACTCCCACAGCTGGCGCTGCAGCCTGGGTCTTACTTGCTAGGAGTCTGCAGACTTGGGGCTTGTCTTCCTCTACCCATTCACTTGCATATGTGCCTACTGCACACTTTAAAACAGGATGGCTCCTGCTACCATTCATGCTGGCCTGTCTGGCACCCTCAGTGGGCGCCTATATTCCTAGAGGTGTAAATCTAGGAGCTAAGATGCAGGACGTCCGTGGCTGGGTGTGGTAGCACACCTTTAACGCTGGCACCAGGAAGGCAGAGGCAGGTGGATCTAAGTTTGAAGCTGGTCTTCTGGGCTACATAGGGAGCTCCAGGCCAGCCAGTGCTGCATAGAGAGGCTCTGCCCTTCAACCTACAAAAAAAAAAAAAAAAAAAAAAAAGAGAGAGAGAGAGAGAGAGAGAGAGAGAGAGAGAGAGAGAGAGAGGAGACCCACGGGGAAATATAGAGTGGTTCCATCACTCATCACTCTGTTTTACAACATAGAAAACACACATGCAGTCAGCTAGGACTTCGGTGTCCACCATGCTAAAGTGGGGCAGGCTGGTACTGCAGTCACCAGCTTCCCAGACTAAGGTGACTCCTAATCACCTTCCTTTGTCCCTACCTACACCATGGACGAGGTATGGCTCAGTGCTAGTGGAGTCCCTGAGTATGATGCACTCTGAAAAAGGGAACAAGCCGACTCCATGCAATAGGTATTACGGCATGAACATGTGGGACTTGGGAATGGCTCATGACTGTAGTGGCTATGCAAATGACTCTGCCAAAACTCAGCCCAACTACACAGTAAATACAGGAAAGTTTACTGTCTGTGTAACTTGCACTCTGAAGCCGCCGACAAAGAGACAACGATGAACTCCTATCCTTTTGGCACTGGTTTCTGATAGCAGACGGCCACCTGACCACACTGATTCATGCAACAAGTCCCCCCGCCGCAGCAACTTTTAAACGATGCTAGGTGTGGAGGCTCGTGCCTGTGATCCCAGCACTGCAGAGGCTGAGTATGAGAAAAGGAGTTCAAGGCCAACCTGGGCCTCATGAGACACTGTCTCAAGGCTCCCATCCCCACCCCAGGCTCCACAAGAGTAAACCAGTACTCAGAACAAGGAGGTGTTCATAAAAAAGTGTGTGTGTGTGTGGGGGGGGGGTACATAATATGAAACTATGTATTAATTACCAATTATCTAAAGAATGCTCATTAAGAGATTCAGTGGTAAGAGCACTTGCCATCAAGGCTAATGACCTGAGTTGGATTCCGGGACCCACATGGTGGATAGAGAACCGAGTAACACAAGTTGTCCTCTGATGCCCATGTATGCCCAGCATGAGCACACTCACACACACATTCATATAAACACACAAACCAAATAGTCAAGCATTTTAATACAAAAAGACCACTTTACAGCATATAAAACTTTATTAAAATTAGGTTTACAAGCCATATAATAATAATAAAAAAATACAGGCATCATTTTTGCTTATACAAAGGTAGGGGAAGTTAAGACCCATGGCAAACAGCCATCCCGGGTAACTTTGTTCTTCCTGAACATTCATTAACATTTACTAAGTATAAACGACAAATACTTTATCTAAATAACACTAAGGCATTACGCATTACCCCCAGGCTAAAACTTAGCTAGTGGTTTCTTGGCCTTGTTATTTCAGCCTCGATCCCATAGACATGGAAACTGGCCCCTGTGGGTTTTAACAGGCTTTGAGGTTCACATTAGGGGCAATCTGTCACAGTGATGCTCAAAGTGCTACTTTCACCATTTTCAAGTTCTCATCAAAGTATGAAAGAGGAAGCTGGAGACGGCGCCTCACGCCTGTAATCCCAGCAATCAAAGACTGAGGCAACATACTCAGTTCCAGGCTACAGAGTGAGTTATACAGTGAGTTCCTGGGCTGTAGGGTGGCCTCCCGTTTAAATGACAAGGTGTGTCAGAGGAAAAGAAGGTATGTGGGACGTTTACGGGTCCGGAGGCCCATGTTTGAGACTATGTACCCGCTCCTGACCCTGCTGAGGACAGGGCTAACACTGGTGTTCATAATGCTTTCATGTCCACCGGGTTCGGGTCCTGCTGTGTAAAGCACCAAACACTATTTTGCGATGGGGGTGGGGGTCTCCTTTGCTGCCCCTACCAATTTAAAATACTCAAACTCAAGTGACCCTCTCACCTCAGCCTTACAAGCTCAGGTACACGCTATCAAGCCTGACTTGCAAACCACCTGTTCAAGGTGGTAAACGACATGGACTCCAACAGCAGCAAAATCTCGTTCAGTCACTAAGACACCAGTGGGTTATCACAATTGGGTAAGTTCCCCAAAGCAATCATTTCTACTACAAGTAAGGCTCAGGCAGACTTGTCATGAACAGCTGCTCTGTGTGAGTGCTCAGGGCCCAGCTAAAGTGAGAGCTCAATCTGCCCCCACTGTCCATCCCTGTGCTCTGATAAAATGCTTCATTCAATTACAGACGGTCGTCTCATATGCTAGACCTGAGTGTGAAGGACACTAGAAGGGTACACTTTCCAACCCTCCTCCTTCACCTTGTACCACTCAGTTCAGGAGTTCTAGGGACACAGCTCGGGACCATTCTAACACAGATGTCCATCTCAGCTCATCTTTTCTTTTCTGGAACAAAAGACTGAGGGTGACTACATAACCCATCCCCAAACCCTTCAGGGTTATCAAGGCCTAGGGGAATTCTCTGGCCTATTTGGGACCTTTCGTTCATCAAACCTCTATCATCTATGCCAAGTGGGGTAGGCTAAACAAAGGGAACACAATTAATAGAGGGCTATGCCCTAGGATAGGATATATTTATGGAAAACAGAACAGTAGGACCAAAGAGCCATCACCAGTAAAAATCACCATTGTCGACAGAAGAAAGCAGGTAGGGCAGAGAAACCAGTTACCAAAGGCTCCGAATCCCCCTTGGCTTTGGTCTCACATTCTATTGAGGAAAGCACACTGTGAGGGTTTATGCCAACTGCCCCTGTGCTCCCATTAATGGGAGCCATGCTCTATAAACTCAGGCCAGACCGGTTAGAAGCAATAGATTTCCAATGCTGAGACCCTGAGCCCTGGAACCAATCTCGGCTTGATAGCTGCTAAGCAACGACGCTGACACAGCAGCAGGCATAGCCCCAGCGTCCGGCTCACCCCCCCCCCCCCACCTCTCAGGGATTGACATCAGTCTGAGTGATGAGACAGAGCCATCAAGCAGCCTCTGGGCATTCAGAGGCTTGGAAGCAGACAGACAGACACACAGGCAAGCAGGGCAAGTCTGTCCTTCACTGTCTGAGAGCAGCTCTCACACACACCAGCACTCAGTTCTCCAACTACCAGATGGGTAAGAAAATGAGCTTGGTTTACTCACAGATTCAAACACAGATACAAACAAATGACCTTGAAACGAAACCCGCATTTCACGGAGCATTCCCCACACAGAAGAGCAAAGTCGTTCAGTGATTCCTCATGAAGATAAACATCTAGTCAGAAGCTCTCTCCCCCTAGCAAGCTGCCACCCCCAGGGAGTCATGTGGGCAAAGGCACCAAGGGCTCCCAAAACCTAACACCACTTGTACAGCTGAATTGTTTTTACACTTAAAATATATGGGATATCAATTTCTATAAAGGAGGTTCCAAAACCATGTGTTTAGCGGGCTTTTGTTGTTAGCAGTGGGTTTTGCTTCGTGGTGCCGGGCGCCTGCGGGACAAGCAGGAGTGAGCACCTCTGAGCTTCATGTCTTGTTTTCAGAAGCTCAGGGACACATTCTTACCATACTTAATTCACAAAGACATCTTGTACTCGGCAGCTTTAACCCATGGCACCTGCTCAGACACCACTCACTTCCTCGTCTTGTTCCCCTTTCTACCAGCTGAGGTAGTTGTCACTTTAGGACAATTTAAGGCTATGGGGACCACTGGTTGAAATAACTCACTGGCCACCTGCAGAGGTGTCAGCCAGCATTCTGAATGCTAGCAATAGGGCCCAGGGTCTTTCAAAATGAAATGCTGATAGCAGGCCTAAAGAAACCCAAGGGCTTCCTTCTTGATGACCCTAAGACAATGAGTCTGATGCTGTATACCTGAGTGAGCACCTACCCTCCTGGCTGAAGGAATCACAGAAGTCACACTTCCTCCAGTGTGACGGTGAAGATCACAATGAAAGAACCAAGCAAACGGCAGAAACCGGGGAGTGTGCCCCCTCATAAATGACCCCATTGGCTTCTAAGGGTCTCCACACGGCAAGGGATGGATGCTGAAGCTGACGTCACTATAGGAAGACAGCATCTCCGTCAGAAATGGAACTGTAAACGAGGACAGTAAATTCAGGGGGAATGTGTCTGATGCTGACAGCCAAGAGTGTTGGAGGCAGGAAAATCGCCTGAAGGTCTATTATCTGCCGCGCAGAGTGTTGCAGCATATAAAGACACTTAACAGATAGTTTCAGGACTCTCAATGGCCACATCTAGGAAGATGCAGATGGTGAGATGCACAAACAGGATGGGTACACAAGGAGACAGGGATAAGGAGGTAAGGTTGATTTTGTTTTGTTTTGTTGTGGTGCTAAAGTTCTGATCAGAGCCTGGCATGCCGGGCCAGTAAGCGCTCTACCACTGAGCTACATCCCAAACCCTGGGAGTTTCTTGATTGTGTAGTACTCAGAGATATGTGATTTGATGGGGGAACGAGGTAAACAAGACTTCTCTCTTCCTAGCTATCATATGAGAACCAAGAAAAAAGGATATATAAAAAAGAAGGCAAGTTTGGCACACCAGCTGTGGTGGCGCACGCCTTTGATCCCAGCACTCGGGAGGCAGAGGCAGGCAGAGCTCTGTGAGTTGGAGGTCAGCCTGGTCTACAATGAGTTCCAGGACAGCCAGGGACAACAGAGAAACCCTGTCTCAAAAAAAGAAAAAAGAAAAGGTTGGCACGGCAAAGGCTCAAGATGAGCCCAAGCTACACAGCAAGACCCTGAGCCAGAGAGGAAACTAAAACCAAAATGGTCGGAAGTAGAGGAACTGAATGGTACACACCCCGCAGGGAAGGAAAGAGACCTTTCGTGAGTGGAAAAGTTAGTGGTGAGAAAAGGCAAGAGAAAAATGCAAATGTTAAATAGAATAAAAACCTCAGGAAATATAAGTAAAACTCAAGACTATCAAATTTGTGACAATTCAAGGTTCAACACAACAGCTCCAGAGGTTTTCATGGACAGCCATACTAATAAATATCTGGGGATCAATAAAGAGTTTGTCACTGTGGAGCACTTATTAATTCTAAAACATGAATTTGCTGCATTTAAAAAAATAATTTGTTTAAAAAACAAGACAGGCAACAAATATTTTTTTCTTTGATAGATAAATCAAGGGTTATTCTAAACACCCACTGGAATAGAAGCAGACAGAAGTAAAAATGGTTCACATTTGTAAATTCCCCTTAGAAGAGGCAGCCTCTGGGCTGAATGCATTACTGCACTTAATACTCATTTCTGAGGGTTTGTCACAGTGACAGAGAAAGTCAGAGGACTTTCAAACAAGAGCTACAATATCACGCTGGCTGTGGCCAACCGGTTTCTTCAGGAACAGCAAAGTGGGCCAACAGCTCACCCGTCAGAAGCAAGCTATCACAGCACTCCCTACTTCCTCCACTCATCCCTCAGGGACCCTTGGAGACCAGGGGTAAGCCCCTCAGTCCCTTCATGTCAGTCGGAGAGCTTCCGTACCCTCGGAGACCACACAGCAGGTACACGTGTATCATCAAGGCACCACGCCAGTCTACGGGAAAACACCTGATCCCATCTAAGTCAGGAAGCTGTTCTGGGTGACAGCAGGGAACTCTGAACCCTCCTCCTCTGAGGACAGCTCCTCATCCTCATCATGGGCAATTATGCTCCCTAATCCATATTCCTGCTCGTGAACAGAGACTTCATTTGGCGTGAGGTGAAAAGAACCTTCCATAAAGTCAGCGAATCTGCAAAAGAGAGGGTTGCTCATTAGGAGGCTTCTTGTCCTTCCCAAATGGCTCTCTAAACAACAGACTGAAAGGCTCTGCATGCTTATAGTTCAAATTATACGCAATCTAACTACATTCCTGTCCTCGCTCTGCAGATACAGAGACTGGAAAAGGAAACAGCCAGGGAACAAGGAAGGACGGGCTCAGCGCCAACACGCTGGGCACTGTCATCCTACCTGACAGTGGCTATCCTGTCCTCTTAGTATGGAGTGCTAAGGTTCCTTGAGTCACCATATTCCTGATAAAGAGATTGGGGCATTACCGTTCTTTGCTTTTATGGCCCTATAAACTTCATGTTATCATGTTTCCAAATTAAAACTTCACATGCTCTTTGGTACAACCACTCCCAATCAAAGGGGGTTAGGGAGCAACTGGGGAGAGCCAGGACTACACAGACCATCACAACAACCTGAAATACGAAAAGTAAGTGCAACATCTTCATCAAACGTACAAGGGCCACACTGAAATATGGTACTGAAGTCTTCTCACTGAAGTCAATACTATAATCAAAACAAGAGGGTGGCTAGCTGCCTTGGGGAAACAGGAACTAGACTCTTGCTAATACATGACACAGATAACTTTCCCTTGACTTCTCCTAGGTTAGCAGTAACCAAAGGGCAAAATGTAACACAGTTATCTAGAAGTATGATCTCTGTTAAAATTCAAAGTCATTAGCGAACCATAAATACTTGGCTTATCAGGCCAAGAGTTTACCTTTTTGGAGACTGAATCCGAGATACAGTCTTCCAGGCAGAGCACTCTGGACTATTACAAAAGTCTCGGAGCTCCTGTAAAGCCTTTTGGGTTTCCACCTCTCCTTGTATCCGATACTCCTCTTCTGTCAGGAGGCGAGGGGGGACAGGCTTTGCTATTGTCACACACATCTTTCTGTGCTCACCAAAATAACAGCACACATCAGTGATCAGTAGCCCACATGCACCCTACCTGCACTTGTTCAGGAGACCCGGCACACACCGGGCAGACCAAACCCCGAGAGCCATCGCCCCCCTCCCTATACACACCCTTCCTTACAGCCAACCCCTGCCATGCCAAACTCTCTTATTTTCCTAAACGACAGACAAAGTATGTATTTTCCAGTAAGTGGGAAAGCAACACCACAATGGTGCTATAATGTGGTTCGTGAACTCCGTCCCTGAACTGAAGGCTCCACGTTGATTATCTGCAACGGAACAGCCATTGACATCCCACATTTACTTTTGCAAAGGTAACGTGCTATAAATGACCTCTCAACATAAGACTGGGATCTCTGGGGCAACCTGGCAGTGACAAGACCGGAGCCCTGAACCTGAGGCCTAGGGTTAAAAACTCTGCAGTCTGTACCACCTAGTGGTAACAGGGACACATGACACTTTACTGGATGCTTTTATTTTATAAAAAAAAAAAAGAAAGAAATAGACTCAACTCAGACACAACAAGAGTGGAGACTGCACAATCCTTCTCACTTACAAAGGTTCCTCTGCTGCAAAGTGTCCCACATCCCACATGTCAACACGAAGTCACACTGCCTTAGTCACCTGTAGGTGATGTACAGCCAATGGATTGGGTACTCCAGGTTCTTAGTACACAGAGCAATGATGACGAGAGCGAAAGCAATGTGTGGTATCTGAATGCTGGCATACATGGAGGCCAGGCCCAGCAGCTGCAGCGCCCAGGTCAGCAGGTTGATGCTGCGCTCGTTCTCCAAGGGCCCATACTTGTAGCACACTGCAAAACTCATGAATCCAACTGTGAGGACATAGCCTGGGGAGGGATCAACACAGCACACCCTTCTTCAGCTGTAGTGTGGGAAGCGGTAGTGAGCTCACTAGGCAGCATATACTGAACTAGGAGATCAGAGAAGACCCCTACTCCAGTCTTTACACATTCCACATACACATGGATCACTCTTATTTTTTTGTCACAAATGTATTTCGTTCAAATAACAAAGGGGTCAAGGAGATGGCGCAGAAGTTAAGAGTATCTATGCTGTTCCAGAGAACCCAAGTGCAGTTCTCAGGACCACATGACATCTCCAGAGGCTCTGACGTCGCTACCCCCATACATATATATAATGAAAAACTAAAATAGTCCACTTTAATCCCAAAATATAAAAATCTACATTAATGTTCTCAAATAATATATCAACTTCCTATCAAGAAAAAAAAGTTTCTATCTGTTTGACCAAAGGATTCACAGCAGTCTTACTTCTGAAGGTCCCCAAGCATATTTAAATTACCATTAATAACACCAATTTAAAGGTTTTTAAATTTTGCTTAATGTAGAAATAAACAACAGCAAATTAAAGTTCTATTCTTATCACCAGCATCTAAATTTAAAAGATGATGTTTAGGAGATACAGTATCAGAAATAAGTAGGAAATTAAAATTTTTACAATTAGCCCTCCTTGTTGTCAGGCAACATCTCCTCACAATCAAATTAACCAAACAGCCTAAAAAACATGCACAAAGAAAAGCCAAGTCAGCAATACTTACCTAGAAGATAATGCCAATAACACCTCCATATCTCTTGTAAATTCTTAAAAACTAGCTGAATGAGGTACAGAGAAAAGGACCAGCCTCCGACCAGGATGACGTAAATGGGGCTTCTCTAGACAAAGCAGAGATGAAAGCAAAAGTTATAAAAGAAGCAAAAGGGACTTTAAAAAAAAAAAAAAAAAAAAAAACACAACCTACTCAAAATGCATGGAAGCATCTCTCTTAAAAAGGTGCAGTTTGCAAGGAACACCGGGAAGATGAGATGCCAATAACTGGAAGGCCTAAGTGTGCAACCAGAGAACACAAAGTGGCTCTCAGTTCCCACTGAGCGAATGGTTTCAAATAAAGAGGCCGTAGGCAAAGACAGGACAGACACTGACTCATCAGCCACGGTGCAAATGTCCAGGGCTCTAAGAAGACGGCAAGACAGTCCATCCTGCAGCTGCCCACGCTTCCTCACACCCAGGCGGAGCTGGACCACTTACCTTGGGCATGAACTTGGACAGCATGAAAATGATGATTAACAGAGAGGCCACAATTCCCACGCTCACTCCAGTGGAATAGTAGAAAATCTGACTCCTGCGGACAGAGTATTTTTCTTGACTATGTAATCCTGTAAGCCTTACAAAGCACCGATAAAACTGAACACTTGACATAGTGACGTTTCAAGACAGCAATTAGAGAAGGAATCTATCATCCTTCAAGCCACAGAGCTGCAGGGTGACACAGCTGTTGATAGACTATAGGATCAGTCAGAATCAATAGTTCCTCTCAATCCCCACTCCCATCTCCTTCTCTTTCCAATCCACCACATGGTACAGACACAGGGCACAGAAAAATCAAGCTGGCACTTGGCTGGAGGCTTCCTTGTGCCTGCTGGGGAGCCCCTACAGAGCCTGAATGGGCTGCATAGGATGCCGGGAAGAGGCCCCACCAACAATCTCAGCCTCGGACCCCGCCGCGTGCAGCATACCAACCCAGACAACATGAGCACACTGCAAGTATGTGAGAGGAGCAGACACTTTAGGACTGGATGTGATGCCCATTCCACAGAAGAGGATTCATATCTGCTAATGTAAATGCCACCAAAAGCCCATGGCTGGGGAGTTTGTAGGCCCAAGAGCTAGCCTTGCTAAATGAATACAATGTGTCTATCAAATCACCCTCTATGATCTGAGAAGGCTGTCTCCATGGTCAACGATGACTACAGAGATAACGCCAGCCATAAGTAGGGTAACTGTACTGTACCATCCCCTCCAGGACTCAGGGAACATCCCACTAGAGCTGGAGGAGGACAAGTGGCGAGAACCCAGACACAGGTATTTGTGACATAGATGCTGCACTTACTCCTGGGTGACCTCAAACTCACAGAGATCCCCGAGTCTCTCAAGGGTCCCCATGCCTCATCTCCTACAGCTACCAGGCAACGGGAGCCACTGGTAAGCTGCCCATGCTCAACATCCAGGAGGTCTGAGACAATGAAAAGACCAAACCTAAGAATAATGGGAATAGGAGTAGAATCCCAGCTCAAAGGTCCAGAAAAAACCTTGTTGTTGTTGTTTGTTTTTGGAGACAGGGTTTCTCTGGGACCCAGAAAATATTTTCAACAAAATCATAGAAAAGAAAATGTTTCTAACCTAAAGAAGGAAATGCCTATAAAAACTATAAAAAGCTCACGGAAAACACTAAACATAACACAGAATAAAGAAGAATATTAAAAGCCACAAGGGAAAAAAGCCAAGTAACATTTAACTTCTCAACAGAGGCTCTAAGAGCCAGAAAGGCCTAGACAGATGTCCTGTAGACTCTAAGAGAACAGACATCAGCCCAGATTACTATACCCAGCAAAAGTTTCAATTACTATAGATGAAGAACACAAGATATTCCATGATAAAGTAAAATTTAAACAGTACCTATTCACAAAGTCAGGCTAAGGAGGTTAACTATACTCACAAAAATAGACAATAAATAATCTCAACCTCTCTCTCTCTCATACCACACACATACCCCCAACATAAAAACAGGACTTAACAATCAACAGTCATTGATCTCCCTCAATATCAATGTAATGGATGCAAAAACAGGATCCATCCTTCTGCTGCATACAAGAAACACACCAACACCAAAGACAGACATTACTTCAGAGTAAAGGACTGGAAAAAGATATTCCAATGGACCTAAGAATCAAGCTGGTGTAGTCATTCTATTATCTAACAAAATAGACTTCAAAACAAAGTTAATCAAGAGACAGGGAAAGACACTTCATACTCAAAGGAAAAAATTCACCAAGATGACATCTCAATTCTCAGCATCTATGCCCCAAACACAAGGACACCCATGTTTGTAAAGGAAACACTATTGAAGCTTAATTCACACATCAACCCTCAACGCATTGATAGTGGGAGACTTTAATAACCCCACTCTCCCTATAGACAGGTCATCCAAACAAAAACCCTGCAGCTAATACACACTGGGAACCAATGGACCTAACAGATATCTAAAGAACATGTTACCCGGACACAAAAGAACGACTCTCTACTCAGCACCCCATGGAAGAGTCTCCAGAATCAACCACCTAGTCAGTCACAAAGCAAGTCTCAACACATAAAGAACAATGAAATAACCCCTGGCATCCTATCTGACCACCATCATTTAAAGCCAGATTTCAACAACAGAAAGCCTACAAACGCATGGAAACAGAACAACTCTGAATGATGGATCAAGGCAGAAATAAATTAAAGACTTCCCAGAATTCAATGAAAACGAATGCACAAAATACCCAAATTTACGGGACACAATGAAAGCAGTGTAAGAGCAAAGTTCACAGCGCTAAGTGCCTTCAAAGAGAAACTGGAGAGCTCATACTAGCAACTTAACAGCACACCTGAAAGCTCTATAACAAAAGGAAATAAACCTACCCAAGAGGAGTAGATAGCAGGAAATAATCAAATGAGGGCTGAAATCAATAAAATAGCAACAAAGAAAACAATACAAAGGAACAATGAAACCAAAACTTGATTCTTTGGGGGGGGGGGAAATCAACAAGATAAACAAACCCTTATAAAAACTAACTAGAGAATATCCAAATTAACAAAATCAGAAATAAAAAGGAGGACATAACAGATACCGAGGAAATCCAAAGAATCATTAGGTTATACTTCAAAAATCTAAAAGAAATGGACAATCTTCTTGATAGATACCACTTACTAAAGTTAAATCAATATCAGATAAACAATTTAAATAGACCTCTAACCCTTAGGAGATAGAAGACACCATTAAAAAAGTCTCCCGCCCAAAAAAAGAGCAAGGCCAGTTTTAGCACAGAATTCTACCAGACTTTCAAAGAGTTAATGCCAATATTCCCCAGATTATTCCACAAGACAGAAACGGAAAGAATACTGCCAAATTCATTTCATGAGGCCACAGTCACTTGGATACCCAAACCACAAAGATTCAAGACAGAGATTTACAGACAAATTTTCCTCATGATTATTAATGTAAAAATAATAAAATACTTGCCAACTGAATCCAAGAACACATCAAAAAAATCATCCACCATGATCAAGTAGGCTTCATCCCAGAGATGCAGGGATGGTTCAACATACGAAAATCTGTCAATGTAATCCATCATTGGAGAGATCAGAGATTCAAGGAACATACCTAAGCATAAAGGCAATTTACAGCAAGCCTATAGCCAATATCAAATTGAATAGAGAGAAACTCAAAGCAAGAGAAACTCAAAAGTCAAGGCTGTCTGTCCTCTCTCTCAATGTCTACCTAGAGCAATGTCACAGCAAAAGGGGACCAAGGGGATATATACTGCAAAGTCAAAGTCAAAGCATCACTTCTTGTAGGTGGTATGACAGTATACTTAAGCAACCCCAAAGATTCTACCAGGGAACGCCTACAGCCTGATAAACATCTTCAGCAAAGTGTCTGAATACACGATTAATTCAAAAGCAAAAATCAGAAGGCCTTCTATATACAAATGACAAATGAACCAAGAAAGACATCACGATAGCTACAAATAATATAAAATATTTTGGGGTAACTAACCAAGCAAGTGGAAAGACCTATATGACAATAACTTCAATTCTCTGAAGAAGATATCAGAAGACATCCCATGCTCATGGATCTATAGCATTAACATAGCAAAAATGGCTGTCTTACCAAAAGGAATTACAGATTCAACATAATCACCATCAAAACCCCAACAAAACTCTTTACAGGCCTTGAAAAAATACTCAACTTTATATGGATAAATAAATAAATAAATAAACCAAAAAACCCAGGATAGCTAAAACAATCCTGTACAATAGAAGAACCGCTGGAGGCCTCACCATCCCTGACTTCAAGCTGTACTACAGAGCTATAGCAATAAAACACCACATGGTATTAGATTAAAAACAGACAAGCTGATCAATACAATAGAGTTGATTAATCCATAGTGGCTGTACCCTTTGGAAGCTGCTCGCCTGTACTTCCTGCCTACCCTAGTATTGTTATCTTCCTTCTCAGATCAGACTGTCACAATTACTGCTCTCTTTTCCTAAATAGAAATACTAGGTACCAGAATTAAATTTTCTAGAACAGGACAACTCTATAGTGATCTCTGTTATGCCTTCACCTAGATATATCATCACTGGATATGTAGTACTTGCCATTTGCTCTTGCTGCCTCGCTGATAATAGGTCTGAAGTGTGTTATGTTCTTACTTTTCCCTTTCCTAGAGCATACTCGATATTTACTGTCTTTGTATATAGTTTTGTAGCAAGCCTAAATCTTTTCTTTAGACTAAAAGGGGAATTGTAGTGAGGAGCCTCCCTGCCTGCACCTGTTGCACTGACCACAGCCATTGGGGTGTAGGGACAGGGGAGGGTGTGGCCTGGGGGACTAGGTCTGGGGTCCCTGACCCCCAGCTTGCTCTCTTGCTTTCTGGTCAGAGGCTCCGGAGGCATCCTTAGGATGGGAACCTGCGGCGGTCATCTGTTTCTGGTGTAAGTGATTTCTCCCCGAATAAACATCCAGATTCTCACTTGCCACGCTTAAGTCTGCACTCCCACCGGCAATGGAGGAGCGTTCCCCTTGCTCCACACCCTTGCCAGCATGAGCTGTCACTTGTGTTTTTATCCTAGCCATTCTGACAGGTGTAAGATGAAACAGAATGGGTTGGGTGAAGAGTGTTGGGAACGATGACTGGAATTAGGGGTCAAAGTGGCACACAACCTATGGGAGCACCCAACCACTACTAGTGAAAATTGAAACCCACATCACGAGAGGGAGCCCAGCCAGACACTGCCTGGAGGACCAGGAGCCAGAGCCTGGATAAGCCAACCAACAAGGGTAAAATCAAACATGACAGACCAATAAGTAAATAAAGGCAGTGAAACGATTCCTAATGATATCATGCTATTCTTGCAGACCCAAACCTAGCATACTCATCATCAGAGAGGCTTCATCCAGCAACTGATGGGAGTTGCAGAGACCCTAGCCAAATATTAGGCAGAGCTTGGGGAATACTGCAAGAGGGAGAGGAAGGATTGTAGGAGACAGAGGGGTCAAGGACACAAGAAAACCCACAGAATCAACTAAGCAGGGCTCACAGGGGCTCACCGGAAAACAGGGAGCCCGTATGAGTCTGAGCTACATCCTCTGCATACATGTTATACTTGTATAACTTGGTCTTCTTGTGAGCATGGGGGCTGTCTCTGACTCCTTCTGCCTATTTTGAGGACCCTTTTCTTCCTACTGGGTTTCCCTGTCCAACTTTAATATGAGGGGAGGTGCCTAATCTTATTATAACCTGACAGGCCATCTTTGGTTGATATCCCTAAAAAGGCCTGCCCTTTTCTGAAGGGAAAGAAAGAGGAGTTGATTTTTGGGGAGAGAAGATGTGGAGGGTAGGGACTGGGAGGAGAGGAGGGTGGGAGGGAAAACCCGCAGAGTGGAAGCAATATATGACAGATTAAAAAAAAAAAAAAAAAAAAAAGGCTAATTGGGTACTGTAGTAAACATGATCAAAATGAATTATGTACATTATGGACATGTCAATAATGCAACCCATCCTTATTTATAATTCGTATATGCTAATAAAAACATTTTTAAAAGAAACAAAATAACTCTTCTGAGGTACTGGACAGCTTGTCTGGGGAGAGAAGGGACAGGAGCAAGCCCAAGTAGAGGCTGGAAAGTGAATAGGGCAGACTACCCAGACACACAGAAGTCCTACTGCCGTTCCAAGCTCTTTTAGTCACTTTCCCCTGAATCTGAGCTTCTCTCGGGGGCCCTGAAATAAAGAACTTCTCTCAGTCCAATATGGCTCAACTTCAAATTCCAATTGTTTCACTCAATATTTACTTATCTGTATATTTCTTATTTAAATCTTTTTCATACAAAAATACTAAGACAAAACAAGTAGGCGCACAACCCCACCCCCCAAAAAAACCTTCAAGGAGTTCTTTTTGTGTTGGTGTTGGCCAAATACTCCTGGGCATGAAACCTGTCCTCAAGTATGGTTGCTACACAGAAAGATCCTTTGTTAAGAGAAAACGTATTTTCCTTTTCCCAGCAGGCATAAACTGCAACTAGTTTCTTGGTTAGGGGTGGAACTTTGCATCCATTTCCCCTTCTCAATGCTGGGATTTTGAGTGGTTTGAATTTGTATGGTGTTGTAGAATATTACTTTAAGGTATCTTACATTTGTTTATGCTCTGGAAATTTGTTTAATGAGGCAAAGATGTGCTGCTTTTGTTTATAGTGCATCTGTTTAACTCTGAAGCTGTGATTCTTTGTTTACTTATCTAAAACACCTGACAGTCTAATAAAGAGCTGAACGGCCAATAGCAAGGCAGGAGAAAGGATAGGTGGGGCTGGCAAGCAGAGAGGATAAACAGAAGGAGAAATCTGCAAGAACGAAAAAGGAATGGCGAGAACAAGGAGAGGAAGATGTCAGGAACCAGCCATCCAAAGAGTAAGAGTCAAAGAAAGATTTATGGAAGAAAAGGAAAGGAAAAAGCTCACAGGTAAAAGGTAGACAGGATAATTTAGGTTAAGAAAAGCTGGCAAGAAACAAGCCAAGTTAAAGGTAGGTATCCATAAGTAAGAATAAAGCCTCCGAGTCATGATTTGGAAGCCGGGTAGCAGGCCCTCAAAGGAGCCAAAGAGCAGAGTAAAAACAACGGTGTGGGCCTTGTTAATACGCCATCACCCGCTGTGTCCTGCAGACACCCGCCACCTGGTGCTGGTGCTCTCACAGTTGCACCTCCTCTCCACACTTACCTGCTCAACACAAAATATAACACAAAAATATAACTTAAGCCCTGAGCTGGAGGGGAGAAGCTTGATAAAGACACCTGTTCAGGGGTAAATGCTCCAGTCTCTCGCTCTTCTGGTAATTGCTATGTGGTGCAGAGGAAGCTTCTCTGACGTGGACTGAATAAGGCACTGATCAACTGTATAGCAATATGTCACCAGGAGTCACTTTCCTGCTATGTCCTTTCAGCAGAACAACACTGGAGCCTACGACTATCTACTCTCAGGTTCTTGGCTGTTTTAGCAGCATTGGATGTAAGTATTTCATCTCAGTGAGTGGGCCTTTATATTAGCGCACATCACTTCTGCCTATCACAGCTAGTAGGTTTCTAAAAATAGAAAACGATCAAGTAATTGATATTTGTTTTACATCTGTGCAGCATGAAACCCATCAATGTACAATTTAGCAGCAATTTCATTATATAAATCTCTACAATAACATTACTTCTAATTGATAATCAACTTTATAATACTAGGTAATTAGTTAACCTAATGACGTTACCTAATGAGAAAGTGCATTAATTAACAGTCATATTCAAATCAGGAAAAGAATTCTATCTTTAAAATACCCAAGCAGGGCCAGAGGGATGGCTGGGCTCTTTCAAGTGTTTGTTTCTCTTTCAGAAGACCTGAGTTCTATCCCCAGCACCCAGGTCAGACTGCTAACAATCACCTATAATTGGTCCAGGGGACCCAATGCCGTCTTTTGGCCTCTGCAGGTACCGCACACATGGACAGAGACACACAGATAAACAATTTAAAAAAACAAAAAGAAATATCTGGGTTTGGTGGTATACACCTTTAATCCCATCACTTAGGAGACAGAGGCAGCTAAAGTTTGTGGCCAGTCTGGCCTACATCCTGAGTTCTAGGCCAGCCAGCACTACATAGTTGAGACCCTACCTCAAACAAAATAAATCTGAAAAATATCCAAGCAGGCAAGATCTAAGTCACACAGGTCCTGGAAAAGGGAATTGCAGTAGTACTTAAAATTCTTATAAGTCAAACAATATCAGTGTCTTATCAAGTCCACACTTACCTGCTCAACAAGTCTCCACAAAAAAATAACATAAGTCCAAGGAGGAAAATAAGGAAGAATTTGGGGTCAAATCCTAAAACAAATGAAAATTTTGCTTAGTAGAAGAGCCAATAAAAGGTGACATCAGTATTACTGGTCAACTACAGTAAATAGCCCAACTAAATGGCAGTATAGATATCACACAAATCCTGGGCCTCCTTCCAAATAGAAACTGTAATTAGGTTTCTGTCTAGTATGGACCTTCCTGAATATCTTACTCTTATTTTGACTTCCTCTACTAAGGCTTATTTAAAAAACAAACAAACAAACCTGGACTAAGCTAAACATGATGCCATCATCATCTCACATACTCACACACTTGTCACAGGCGGGGAACTTGAGAAAGGGCCTACAACCTTGGGTGTGGCCCATGTCCGCCATGTGGCCTTCTGGCCCGACCACACCTCCTTCTTTGCTTCACTATACAGCACTGTGCTGAGAGTCCCCCACCCCGCCAAACATCTCTCTCTCACCCAGACCCCAGCAGACACTGCTGACACACCAGAGCATTCCATGGCTGTGACATTCAAAAGCCGAGTCTAAGGAAGGCCCAGAAACAGACAGGAGCTGAGATAATTAAATGCAGAAGGAACACGGACAGACAGGCCAGCCCTACTGTTGTAGACTACTACTTTAGCCAAGCAAAGATGTGCTACAGTGTGTGCTACAGAAGTTACTTAACTGTGTAAAGGGGTGTTGCTTTTGTTTGTGCGGCATTGTTTAACTATGGGAAGGCATGCTGCTGATTCACCTTGCCTGCCTAACTCAAGGATCTCTTCTGAAGACAGAAAGGGGGGCTACGGGAAGGATATAAAGTAGATTAGTGAATCTACTTTTAAACTAAAAGGCAACTGTTAAATCTCAAACATTTTACATTGGTATGCACTTTGGTATATTGATATAAGTTTATTTTTGTTACAGCATATATATTTATACTCTTATTTAAGGTATTGTACCTAAGCAGTTCATTTAAAAATGTAAAGTTCTAGTTCTTGAAAGCTATTATTAAACCATTTAGGATGTTAGAAATGCAGGTTGGTTAGTAGTCAAATGTACCAGGCCTTTTCTTATCTTTTCTTTCAAGACAGGATTTTTCTATGTAATAGTCCTGGCTACCCTGGAAACTCATTCTGTAGACCAGGCTGGCCCCAAACTCACAGGGATCCACCTGCCTCTGCCTTCCGAGTACTGGTATTAAAGGTGTGCGTCACCAACCGGCTCAGGCTTTTTCTTTTTGTCCGTTCAGCTCTTTATTAGACCAATCGGGTGCCTCAGGCAGGCAAGGTGAGACAGATGCAGCACATCTTTACATAGTTAAACAGATGCAGCACAAACAAAAGCAACACACCCAGTTAAAGAGATATTCTGCAGCACAAACTAATGGAACGTATCGTTGCCTTGTTAAAATAATTCTCCACAGCTGGGAGGCGGTGGCGCACACCTTTTATCCCAGCACTTGGGAGACAGAGGCAGGTGGATCTCTGTGAGTTCAAGGCCACCTTGGTCTACAAGAGCTAGTTCCAGGACAGGCTCCAAAGCCACAGAGAAACCCTGTCTTGGGGGGAAAAAAAGTATTTCACAACACCATACATAACCACAGAACCCTACTGTACAACCACTGGAAGGGCATAACCTTTTGGTAGCAAAACCAATCAGGATCTGATGAACTGCCTCCTCTAAAATTCTCAGAAGCCTTCAGAGAAGGAAATCTTCAACACATCGAGCAAATGAGCCTTAAACTATAGTGCCCTCAGCTCTAATAATTTTACTGCTCACTCTTCCCGTCTTCTCCAGAAGGCATAGACACAACTGTCTGACAGAGTCCAGTAGTGCTGGCCAATCAACTCAGGGCCTGGGAATGAGTAACTACTGAGCCAGACCTTTCATTATTCTGGGCCTAAAGAGTCTTATGTGTGGTGGAGTCTCTATAAGCTGTCTAGAGCCATGGTACAGTAAGACTGTAGTCAAATGCAAAATGGAGTTGTCTTGGCCTGCCTTCTCTGTCTCAGTAACTATACCCTCCAAAGCTGTCCCAGCTCATCATAGAATCCATCAAAAAAACAGAGGTGAGACTTACTCCGGGTCACAATGACACTGTATTTGGTGTCCTTCTCTATAATCTCAACTTTGAGGCAGGTTTTTGTGCTGTACAGACCCACGTTAACATAGGTGTCATTCAATTTCTCTTTTAAAAAAGAAGAAAAAAAGTTCCAGATACTAAACTGCTCGAGCTCCTTCAGCTTCTCCTCATTGTCCACCTGGGTGACTCGGACCAATTTGGAACTATTTACCCGGACCTGTAACATAAATGAAATTACGATGAAAATGTAGGAAATTTTCATAAACATAATTTTCAAAACACCCTTACTGGAAATATACAGAGGCAGCCAAAACATGATTTGGCAAATGATGCTGCTCTAATAGACGCAGCTGCTACAATTTCTTATTACATGGTCTGACTATTAGGCCAGAAAGGGAGTGGGAGGGAGTGGAGTTCCCAAGCAGACAGTATCAATACAGCTATTTACGAAATCACACAAAGCAAGGACCTGGAATATTAAGAAAATTACCAGTCATAAACAGCCCCAGAAAACTGAAAATGTCCCCATAATGACAGGCTGAGAAGTTGAACGCATTGTCAGAAATCACTGATTATGGATAAACATTGGTTATAATGTGCCCCAGATAAAGTATGACTTTTGTTTCCTCTCGTGTGCTGATGTGAACAGCACACACCCTCATCAGTCTCCATGTTTACTGCATATTCTCTGCGACTCTCCAAAGGCTGTCTCTGTTCAATCACGACTACAGCCAGAAACACTTCTTGAGTTATGAAAGAGTGGGTACCAAAGTCATTCTGCCCAGAGGAAGCTTCCCTCACAGAATCAAAACAGAAGAGGGACCACAAGACAAGTTTACATTCAGACAAGCACACCACATCCCAGCCCAAAGAAGGCACGGGGCATTCAAGAGGCTTGAGTGTGCACACTTAAGAAGGGGAGGGCAGCGCAGACACCCAGGGGAGGGCTCCCATTACCTGTATCCGGGTCCACATATCATACCATTTGGGGACAAGCACGTTTTTATAACAGAACTGTTGACTGGAGTTCATATCAACCTGGGACTCCTGTAGCAGGATCACATTTACACCAACTCCAGCTTTATGGGGAAAAAAGAGACACAGATTAAGTAGAGCCAGGCCGTGGTGGCCCACGCCTTTGATCCCAGCCAGCACTCGGTAGGCAGAGGCAGGGGGATCTCTGTGAGGCCAACATAGTCTACAAAGCAAGTTCCAGGGCAGCCAATGTTACACAGAGAAACCCTGCCCCACCCCACCCCCCAAAATAACCAAAAAGCATGAAAGCCCACCAAGGTAAAAAGTCTTTTTTTTTTTTTTTTTTTGTAAATAATTATTTACTCTGGTGGGGGTGGGACTGTCACGATGTAGAGGCCAGAGGACAATCTACAAGTCAGTCCTCTTCATCCACCACACAGCTCTTATGGATTCAATTCAGGCCTTTGTACTCGATGGGCAAGCACCTTCACCCACTGGGCCATCTTGATAGCCAAAATGGTTCTTTGTGAAACTAAGTCTAATTTTTCTTTCATTGCTAATTCATAAGGCTTTCTTCGATTAAGCTACGCAAATGTACATCGCTACTGAGAGACATCCCAACCCAAACTAAGGCTAACTTTGAAGTGGGTAAAGCATTTGCCCCTCCTAAAGACCTGAGTTCATTCTCCGGAACAGATAACACCACGCACAGTAGTACACGTCTATAATACCAGTGCTCCTGCAGCAAGATGGGGTTGGAGACAGACTCCCAAGAAGACTGTGGCTGCTGTAAGTAAGCAGCAGCAAATAAGATCTAGTTTCAAACAAGGTGGGAGGGGACGGATCAGCACCCAAGACTCCCCCGACCTCCACACAAATACCACGACGTGCACATACCGAAGTGCAGGTGCACGCACGTGCGCACACATCAAACAAGAATCCATCACTACCTTCAAACAAAATGCAGTCTATTTACAAACTCAAAGTAAAACCATCCATTGCCAAACCAACTTACACTTATTAGCAACTACTCTCTCACCTTGTAAAGGCCATTATATTATCAAGTGAGTAGTGAGATAGCAAGTAATATGCTGATAATACCAGCTATCTGAAAAACTTAATGCAAGGAAAAGCACCTTTAACTTTAAAATTCAATGGGGCATCGCAGGGTTGCACTCCTTTAATCCCAGCATTCAGAGGGCAGAGACTGGTGGATCTCTTTTGAGTTTGAAGCTAGCCTGCCTCAAGATGTACGATGAGTGTTGGAGAGATGGCTCAGCAGTTAATAGCACGAGCTGTTCTCCCAGAGAACTCCAGAACCCCTGTGGCAGCTTACAGCCACCTGAAACTTCAGCTCTAGGGAATCTGATGCCCTCTTCTGCCCTCAATGGGCACCAGGCATGCACATGGTCCACAGATACACATGCAGACAAACACCCATACACAGAAAATAATTAAAGAAATTAAATTCTCCAATGTCTTAAAGAGATCCAGTAAGATAGTTCTGCAAGTTAAGGCACTTGCCACCAGGTCTGAAGTTTTATCCCAGAACTCACTCTCTTCAGTGATTACCTAACTGCACTCTTCCTCCAAATAAAAGCTTAACCTGGCCCACTTGGACTAAATTCCACCTTAACCCACTGAGACATTCAGCTGGCCCCAAAACCACCATCTTTCTGGGCTCCAATAGGTAATTCCAAACCCATGGCCACAGAGATGTCCCTTGTGACAAAACACATGAGTGCTTCGATCGGGAAAGGGACTTGCACAGAGAAGCATGGGCTGAGTAGGACTAGCCTGTGGGAAGGTAACCACAATCAGAACAGATTATGCACATGTATGAATCTGTCAAAGAACAAATCTTTAAGTTATTTTAAAAACCTACCTTCAATCAGTGGGTGTAGGAAATTACTAGTAAATTACGTGCTGGGACAAACCATTATTTGAAAAATAAAATCCATCCAGATCCTCACCTCACACCAAATGCCAATACAAATTATAAATCAAAGACAGGGTTACCTTAGTAAGACCCCCATTCAAAAAATAAAAGGGCTAGAGCTGTACTTCAGTGGCAGAGCACTAACACTGAGTGTGTGAGGCCCTCCGTTCAATTGCCAGTTTTGCTAATAATAATCTAATGTTTATCCTCCAAAATCCAAAAATATCAATTTAACTTTAGAAATCACTTTTTATCTTATTATTACTACTATTGTGCACATGTATGATGTACATGAATGTGCACCCCCTGGCACTCATGTAGAGACCAGATGACACTTTTGGAAGTCAGTTATCTCCTTCCATTATTGGTTTCATAAATCCCATTCATGGCATCCATTCTGTATGGCGAATTCTGTTTATCCTAGGAACCATCTCACTAAACTGGAATCTCTTAAGTATAAATCCAAATACTGAAGTCAAATGAGCAACACACACACACACACACACACACACACACACACACACACACACACACTTCTTTTTTTTTAAGAGGGGCAGTGGCTGGAGAGATCGATTACTGGTTAGGAGCACTCATGGCTCTGGCAAAGGGTTCTATACACCTGTGGCTGCAGCTCCCGGGGATCTGACACTCTCTTCTGACTGCAGCAGGCACCAAGCACATGGGTGCAAAAACAAACACTCAAACATGAAATAAACGCAATTAAAGCCAGGCGGGGGCCTTCAGAGCGAACTCCAGGACAGCCAGGGCTACACAGGGAAACCCTGTCTCAAAAGAACAGAGAAAGAAATACACCAAAACCTTTCATTTTGAAGTTATATAAAAATCCTTATAAATAAAAATCACAGTGCTAGAGGTGTAGCTTGGTAGAGCTCATGCCTGGTATGTGTACATGTCCTAAATTTGATTTCTAGCACACACACAAAAAAATTTTTTAACAAGTTTATAGCTAGGCATAGAGGTGGACATGCTTATAACCCCAGCACACAGGAGGGAGAGACTGGAGGGCCAAGTTTTTAAAAATCACTCTCTGATACAAAGGGGTAACCCAGGCTATGAACACCTGCCTCATTAAAGACTAATAAAAGAATAAGAGGCCATGAACAAAGGTCATGAATCCTAAGAACTTTCAAGCCTGGAGCTGGGGGGGATGGCTCAGTAGCACAAGGACCAGCGTTCAGATGAACAGCTCCCACACACAGCCAGGCACCCTGAGTGGCAAGCACCGAGATAATCCCAATGCTGGGGACAGACCAGTGAGGGAGGCTGTCTCAAAACCAGGGTAGACAGGGCCTGAACTAGACAACCCATGCTGTCACGCGCACATGGACTCTCCCGGGTGTGCTCAAACCCAAGCACACACACACAAATGCAACAAACTACAAGGGTTTGCCTCTTCATATGCCTGTGTTAATAGTTGCCAAATAGTCTAAAACACAAATTATTCTTACAATTAAATGTCTCCAAAATTTCCAATGACAAGAAGCCCACCCTTGGATAGAGTTCCATTTTACTGTTGGGAGTGCCCTGCTACACTTTTTCCCCTTTACAGCTGAACCCACACAATCGGGTCACCAAGCTGTCCCTGGAGAAGACCTTTCTTCTACTGAGGAAGCCCCCTGAGCCTCCCCTCTCAGAAGGAACTTTGAAGCCCGGTTGTGATGCTTGTAACCCCAGGATTCTGGAGGATGAGGCAGAAACAGGACTACACAGTGAGCAAAACAGCCTGAGCAACAGGGTAAGACCTTGCCTCAGCTAAAAGGGAAGGACAGGGAAGCAAGCAGGCAGAAAAGTCTGGTTAGGTTTCTCTTTTATTATTTGTCTTGAGGCAGAGTCTTGCTACCTAATGCCAGCTGTCTTGGAACTAAGTAGGCCAGGCTGGCCTCAAACTCAACAGATCCAGCTGCCTTGGCCTCCCGAGCCCTGGGACTAAAGTCCTGTGCCACAATGCCTGGCTTTTTGCTGTAGGCGTCAGTCCCTGGTACCCTGCAAATGAAACTTCAGAAAAGGAACCTGCAGATTGTTCTCAGTATCTTATTTCTTAACAACCCAAGGTCGGATTTCAAAAGTTCATCCAGGTAAGAGTCCTTGCAAATGCTGTTCTAGGCCTTGCATCTGCAAAAGCATCCGTCCTGGATACCTACTCCCTAGGCAAAAAGAAGTCTTCCGGCCCCTTTTGAACAAACATGCATCTCATGGGTGTGTTAAACTTATCTTACAGCCACAGCGAGAGCATGTGATAGGCAGGAACGGAAGGGGGCGATACGAACACATAACGTGTGGTTTATAAGCGCTGATTATTTCCTGGAGTCGCTACTCCCTCCAGTGGAAGTTTGCAAACATCGCTTATTTTCCCCGTCCGTTATTTAACAAGGGGGGGAGGGTGGAGAAAGGGAAAAGAAAAATCTGTTTCTTACAAACTTTTCTTTTTCTGGACCGGAGCACAAAAAATAAAGTTTCCTACCCAGCCCTGAGTAGATGACCGTTCAGCAGCAGGTACCTAGGATGTATGTGCTTGAAGTGAAATGAGCAGACTCGGGAAAGATGCCCCACTCGAAGCTGACGGATGGATGGGTGGCCTTTCTACCTTTCCTGGGCAACTGGACTATGACCATTCCGGGGCTATTGCGGAGGAGGGTCTTAATCAGCGCGGCAGTCACCCGGCCGTGGCGGCGCACGCCTTTAATCCCAGCACTCGGGAGGCAGAGGCAGGGGGATCTCTGCGAGTTCGAGGACAGCCTGGGCTACAGAGACACCCAGACTCGAGAAACCATCCGGGTCAAGTCCAGCCCATTCCACCGTGCCGAGACGGACGACACACTTCGCGGAGAAACGGTGCCCACGACCCCTCCGCAGCCCCTGGGTCCGGACGAGGCCGGCCCGGCAGCGCGCCCGCCCGCCTCCCTCCCCCGGCATCGCCCGCCAGGACCAACGGGCCGCGCCCTCGGGAGGAGCCCGCTTTCCCAAAAATAACATCCTCGCACCCGCCCCCTGGCAGCGGCCGCCCGAGCGGTACCTGAGCCGCACACCGCGCAGCCGAGGACGACTAAGAGCAGCCACGCCGCCCCGCCGCCCCCGGCCCCCCGGCACCAGGGCCCGGCACCAACCGCCGACCACTCCGCCACTTTGATTCCTCCCGCCATGACTGCCTCACGCCGCCGCCTCCTCACGTGCTCCTCCTCGGCAACTGCCTCCGGATAGGCAGCGCCGGCAGCCAATCAGCGGCGGGGCCCGCCCCACGCTGCAGGCGGGGCTTCGCGCGCTCCGGCCTCCCGCGCTCCCGGGAGCCACGCCCCTTACAGCCCCAACCCTCGCAATGGCAACAGGAAGGTCCCGCCCCTTAGCCAACCTGTTTCCGTTCCCCCCCCCCCGGTTTATTTACAAGCGAGACTGACGGCAAGCTGGCCCAATAGGAAATCAGAATGGGTGAGGCCGTCCTGGACCGCACCTTCCCGTCTAAAGAAGCGCTCATTTATTAAAAGTTCCTGCTGGCTTCCCTCTTTTCTACGTCGGTCTCTCCATGAGAGGCAGGCAAACGGTAGCTCGCTCGCTCTTTACAAGGCTCGCAAAGACGAACAGTTTGTGTGAGGCACAGATGATTGACAGCCTGCCCCGGAGCGGTGAAGATCACCGAGTCCAGGACTGTGCTGCGCTGCGCGGTTGCGTAGGCTTCGAGCCTGGTGGGCAGAGCACGTTAGGCGTGTGCAGGGCCCTGACGCCGGCCCCCAGCACTACAGAACCAACAGAACCAGACGACACCAAAAATAACTTGTTTTCGGTTTCCATTCTTTTTGACCGGAGATGTAGCCGGACCATGCTCAAGGCCCTGGTTTCAGTCACCCGGCGCCGCAGAAATAAAGCATAAGCCCCGGGGTGGGTATTGGCTTTGGAAGGAAAGAGGTAGAGACAGGTGAGAATTAAGACAGGGTTTGTCTTCTCTATTTAAAAGGAAGCCAAAGCTAGCCAGGCGGTGTTGGCACACACCTGTAATCCCGGCACTCGGGAGGCAGAGGCAGGCGGATCTCTGTGGGTTTGAGGCCAGCCTGGTCTACAGAGTTGAGTTCCAGGATGGGGCTACTACACAGTGACACCCTGTCTCGAAAAAACCAAAAAATTAAAAATAGATAATAAAACTAAAAGACTAAATTCTAGCAATGTATTTGTGTATGTAAATATATCGATACAAATGCATGTGATATATATAGATCCTATATATACACATATGTATATGTGTGTGTGTGCGTGCACTTTCCTTTTTTTTAGATAGGCCATATGGCCCTGGCTGTCCTAGAAAGTGTATAGACGGGTATCTAGCGTTCAGCGACCCTTCTTGCTTTTACCTTCCAAATACTGAGATTACAGGCATGTGTCACCAGCCTGACAACACTTATTTCTTTGTATGCTTTTATGTTTTTCTTTGAGGGGGGCTTATTAATTTATTTGTGGGGATGTTGTTTTGTTTTTTGAGACAGGGTTTCTCTGTGTGACAACCCTAGCTGTCCTGGAACAGGATTTATAGACCAGGCTGGCCTTGAACTCACAGAGATCCTCCTGCCCCTGCCCCTGAGTGCTGGAAGTAAAGGCATGGGACACTGCACCCAGCTTTAGATTTAATTTTTATTTAATGTGTATAGCTGTTTTTCCTGCATGTATGTTCGTATGCCACATGTATGTAATGCCTCTGAAGATGAGCAATGGTCTGTGGACCTCGTGGAACTGAAGTTACTGACAGTTGTTAAGGTGTTGGGAACCAAACCTGGATCTGGGTCCTCTGCAGTAGCAACAAGTCCTCCTAACCACTCAGCCATTTATCTTATTTTGGATCCAAGGTCTCATGTATCCCGGGTAGGTCTCAAGTTCACTATGTAACTAAGGGTGACCTTGAACTCCTGATCTCCTACTACAACCCACAAGTGCTAGATTGGAGCAGGCCAGGCCTCTCCATTTTCACACAGGGGCTTCCCCTTCAGTCCTCACTAATTTCAGGTTTGGGGACTAAGTACATACGATCACCAGCCACCCTGGATGTGGTGCCACACGCCTTTGATGCCAGCACTCCAGAAGCAGAGGCAGGCGGCTCTCCGTGAGTTCATAGGCCAGCTAGTCTACAGAGCGAGTTCCAAGACAGCCAGGCAGTTACTTAGAGAGACCATGTCTCAAGAAACAAACAAACAAACAAAAAAAAAAAACTGTGCAGATGATGTTTGATGAGACTGGTTATACATCACACTTCATCACCCAAGTGAGCATTGTATTTCAAGGTAGCAACTGTTGAAAGACAAAAAAGTAAAGTTAAAGAAACCCCTCACTTGAAATGAAGGGCTAACCTGGAAACCAATATCTGTTCCTTGGAATTTGCTAACTTCCCCTCACAAGGCCCTGAGATGGCAGGATACCAAGAATTCACACTGTCCCTCCTTTCTTGTGAGTCAGCAGGTGGTGACTAGGGTCCTTAAGAAACAAAGTGATAACTATACCTCCGGTTTGCCCAGACAAGATTAATTAGCATACCCTGAGGCCCTAAGGTCTGCTGACCCTAATAGCAAGACCATCTGGCCTCAACGGGTCACCTACTCAATGGACAGAGGGTCCCACCCCCTCCCTAAGCTTGTGGGTTTGCAAACACCTGTGCCCCAGGGGGTGGTGCTTCTCTCTAGCCTGCGTGCTGGAGGAGCCCGTTTGCGCAAACGATTCCTGTTCATTAAAGCCTCTTGCGTGTAGCAGCAACTGGACTGGACATTGACTTCTTGGGGTACCTACCGAAACTGGGAGACTCCTCATTCTGAGGGTCTTACACTGTATCTTTTTTGTTTGGTTGGTTTTTGTTTTTTGTTTGTTTGTTTTGGGTTTTTTTTTTTTTTGTTTTTTTTTTTTTTTGGAGACAGGGCTTCTCTGTGTAACATCGATAGCTGTTCTAGAACTCTCTTTGTAGACCAGGCTGGCCTCAGCTCACAGAGATCCACCTGCCTCTGCCTCTCTGGTGCGGGGATTAAACGCATGTGCCACCACCGCCCAGCGCATATCTTTCTTTTAATACTGACATTTCAAGAATCACCTTCAGCATTTTCTATAGCAAAAGCTAATAAATATTCATTATCTACAGGTGGATCTGACTTATGTAAATAGCCAAAAGAACTCAAGCCAAGGCTGATGAGTAAATAGGGTATGAAGTATGGATGGGAAATATGCTGGAGAACCCTTTAGGATTTAGAAGGATAACATGGTACACAGTCACTATCAATAAAAGAACAATCCCAGGGCCATCCACAACAGCCTAGTCAGGGTTCCTGTAACAATATAAGTGAATATGTGTGCTAGGACAAATGAGCAAAAGTGTGCCTCGTGCCCATTTTGTTCAAGTCCTCTGTCATAAAGTGACAGGCTACATGGGCCTGGTTTTAGTTGTTTGTTTGCAGTTTTTTCCTATGTTGGGAACCAACAAGCTAGGCAGGTACTCCATGAAGCTGAATCCTCAGCTCCCAGAACTGGGTTTTATTACCAAGTAAGTTATGAAAAAAGTTGTGTATCACCGTTTCTTGGGTGTAACAATTGTGAAGGATTGCCGGACAATGGTGGCACCTTTAATCCCAGCACTCAAGAGGCAGAGGCAAGCAGATCTCTGTGAGTTTGAGGCCAGCCTGGTCTACAAAGCTACACAGAGAGGAAACCCTGTCCTGAAAAACCAAAAGAAAGAAAGAAAATTGCAAAGGACTGAAGATGGTGGCTGATGGATGTAACTGAACCAATCCATCACCAAATCCTATGGTTTTGTGTTCTATCTTTTGAATCTGCCCTTTCCCTCCTCTGGTCACCGACCCCACCCAGCTCCTTCCCATTCTGACTGGCATTGTCTTTTTCTTTTTTTCTTTCTTTTTTTGGTTTTTTCGAGACCAGGTTTCTCTGTGTTACCTTGGAGCCTGTCCTGGCACACTCTGTAGACCAGACTGGACTGGAACTCACAGACATCCGCCTGCCTCTGCCTCCTGGGTGCTGGGTTTAAAAGCATGCACCACCAATACCTCGCTCTGACACTCTGACTGGCATTTTCAAGTGGGAAAGTCTTTCACTTTCTTTCAAGCTATCTGCCATAATTTAAAAAAAAACTTAGTTGCTTCTTTACTTAAGGGAGGCTATTCGAAGGTCAGAGGACAGCTTTTAAGAACTGGTTCTCAAACAGGTGACCTGAGCAAGTTGGAGCTCACTTCCCCAGTCTGACAGCTGGGGAACCAGTAAAGGACCAAACAAGGCTGCCTCAAGGGAGGCCTCACCGTTCCTGGATGGGGGTGGGGGATAGGATGATGGGAGGGAGGTGGATCTGGGATTGGTATGTAAAATAAGATTGTTTGTAATTTAAATAAATGTATTTAAAAAACAAAAACTGGTTCTCTCCTCCACTGAGTCACTGAACAGAATGGAATTTTGTCTTCAGGCTGGGAAATGGGAGACTTCACTCACTGAGCCACACTTTGTCGGGAAAACAGTTGCATCTGTATGCCCATGATTTGGACAGATGACCAGAGAACTTTGTGGAATCCATTCTCTTTCCACGGGTCCTAGAAACTGCCCAGGAGCCATGTGGTCGGCCTTCCAGGGTTTCTGTAACCTGTAGTGCGAAGGAAGCCCTACAATCTTACCGCACCTCTAACCCGCTGTAAAGAAACAACGACAGCTGGAGGGCTGGCTCCTTGGTTAAGAGCACTCTGCTCTTCCAGAGGCCCTGGGTTAGAGTCCCAGCATCCATATGGCAGCTCAAATTTGGAGGTTTTTGGTTTTGTTTTTCTAGTCCAGATGCGTGAGTGTCTGTATGGACATGGAATGTGAGTGCAGGTGTCCACAGGAGCCAGAAGGGGGCGTCAGATCCTGCGGTGGTGCTGGAGTTACAGTTGTAAGCCACTTCAAGAGAACTGGGCACTAAAGGCAGGCTCTCCTGATGGGCAGGAAGTGCTCTTCACTGATGAGTCATCTTTCCAGTCCTGTCTTAAAAGCTCAGTAGCAATTTAACAAAGAAGCTTCACAGCGACTGTTTAAGTCATCTCTTAGTGCACCCTCAGAGTATTTTATAAAAGGAGGGACAGCCAGGCAGACTGGCACAGGGCTACACAGTCTCAGTGCTGGGAATACAGAGGCCAAGTTCAGGGTTATCCTGGGCTACATACAATCCTGTCTCAAGAATTAAAAGAAACGTCTGAGAAATTTTTTCTTCCAGTTAATGTAGGGGGTTGGTCAGCAGTTAAGAACACTTGCTCTTCCAGAGGACCTGAGTTCAATTCCCAGCACCCACAAGGAGCTCACAACTGTCTGTAACTCCAGTCCCAGGTATCCAACACCCTCTTCTGGCTGCCTTGGGCACTGCACATAGGTGGCGCAGACATTCATGCAGACAAAAACCCATATCCATGAAAAATTACAGAAAATGAAAAGCAGAATACAATATTAGGTTGGATATTTTTATGACTGGTCTGGTCCCTAACACAACGGTCTGCAACCATTCTGAATGTAATGGCCATACACGCTTCTTCATTTCTAACAGCCATCACCCACAGGAGTGACTTCCTTTCTTCCTGGAAAACTTCTATTCATACTTCCTGCATCAAATCCTGGTCCATTGGTAGGACAGATTGATGGCAAGGTGGGGGAGGGGTATTGCTAGCCTGAATTCCCACAAAAGACCAGACCTCTCATCTCTTATATTTGTCTCCTACTATTCATTGTGGTGGTGGTGTTTACATGTTTTTGTTTTTAAGATTTGTTTATCACATATACAATGAACAATGTTCAGCCTGCATGTATCCCTGCAGGCCAGAAGAGGGCGCCAGATCCCATTACAGATGGCTGTGAGCCACCATGTGGTTGCTGGGAATTGAACTCAGGCCCTCTAGAAGAGCAGCCAGTGCTCTTAACAGCTGACTGAGCCACCTCTCCAAGCACTATGGTTACTTTTACCAGCCTCTGAGTTCCTTATAGGTGTAGGCTTGGGTGACTTTTGAGAGGTAAATACTTTTTGCAAAGTAAATCCAAAGGTCACACTTCGTAGATGAATTCTGGCACAGTATTCAAAAGGGGGTAAGGAGGGTCATTACTTTACATTTGTATTTTTCGAGCACCAGCCAGGATTTAAGCCTTCTACTTAGAGTACTTGGCATTTACTTTACCAGCTTAATGGACATCTCTGGATATCAATAAGCCAGACTTGGAGGGCTTACCATAAACTAGCCAGGCAGGGCAGAGAAGCCTGTCACAGTTTTTCACACCTTGAATTTCAGCACTCCAGTGGCAGAGGCGGCTGGATCTTTGAATTTGTACCTGGTCCGGTCTTCGCACTGTGTTCCAGGCCATCCGGGGCTGCAGAGTAAGGGGGTAGGAGGGGGGAGCACACATCTTTAATCCTGACACTAAGGAAGGAGAGAGGCAAGGAAATCTTTGTGGGTTTAAAGCCAGCCTGATCTACATGACCCAGGATAGCCAGGACTATGTAGAAAGACAAAACAAAATGGGTCAAGGGTCAGAACAAGCTGGAGCAAAGGTCCGAGGTTTAGGGAGCACTGCTTTTTACCAAGGACCGAGTTTGGTCTCCAACACCCACACAGCAGCTCCCAATTATCTGTAACTCGAGTTCCAGACGATGCAATGCCTTTTCTGACCTCTGTGAGCTCTTTCACGAACACGGTACACATACATACACTGGGCCACACAGTATTTTTAAGCGGTGGGTAAGCTGGAGAGATGGCTCAGGAGTTAAGAGCGCTTAGCTGGCCCTGCAGAGGACGCAGGTTCGGTTCTCAGCATCCATGTGCCCGCTCAGTGGGATCCTGCCCTCAGGTGGTGCATATACATACACTCAGGCACACAAGCACACGAAACAAAGCGTGTTTCTTAAAGGACAGAGAAAACAATGTCATCCACAGCGGGTGGGAGGAATTAATTCCGCCTGGAGGAGGCCAGGGGAGGAGGGCCCAGAAGGGAGTGCGGTCCGAGAAAGGTGAGTTTGAGCCAAACCTTGCAGAGTTGAGTCTTATTTGGCAGGGTGAGGTGATGGCGTGGGGGTTGGAGTGAGCGGGGCAATCTGCTAGATGAAGATCTCCACGTGCCGCAGAAGACGATCCTGGCACGCAGTATCCTCTCTCCTCCTCCACCCTTTCCCTAAGAAATACGGCTGGGGATACTGTCTCCCTCCCATTGAACAGATCACTGCAGACAATAAAGGGAACCTTACACTTTGGGTTCAACGACATCAGTTGCTTTATTTTGCCTTTGAGACTCTGAGGGTATGGAGAGCAGGGGAAGCAGGTTTAAGGATGTGGTCTTGAGAGTTCGGGCACTGGGAAAAAACGAAGTCCACAGCAGAAAAAAAAAATGGGGGGGTATTTTTGTCCCCACTCCCTTTTGTCAACCCCCAACACACACCTGTCTGTGCCAGCGCGCGCGCACAGACACACATTTTGCTGAAGGCTGGAAATTCCTTGTTCTGAGCGGAAGAGAGTAGGCGGGTGTGTGGGGGTGGTAACTGGGAGGGAAGCGAAGAACAGACATCTCTGCCTCTGCTGCGGGCTGCGGGGGCGCGCTGGGCCTCTGGTGGGGCCTGACGAGCCAATGTTGCTCTGTGTGTGTGTGTGTGTTTTAATGTATTTTAAAATACTCACATAAGGACTCGGATGCAATCCTACAGACAGATATACAGGTAGTCATAAAGAAACAAACACTCAAAATAGTGTCAATAGTCTTCGATCTGACCAGCACTCTACAACTGAGTTTCCACGCAGGCCCTAGTTGAAACCTCATGGCAAGTCTTGAGAAACAAAGCTACAAATGGTACTAGGTAGTTTCACTCACACACAGGTTCGCATCGGGACCCATTGTGACTGTCAGAGGGGCCCGGGCCTCAGAACCGGCTTCTCCCTCTTTGCTGACCAGGCTCACACCGAGCTCCCGAGCAGCAAGCCCTAGCCTTCCCCGCCCCCTACCGCTCCACTGGCTGCCCTCTCTCCCCAGACCCCAGGACTCCGTGCCACCCCGAGGGTGGGAGGGGAGGGGGTGCCTGGAGCAAAAGCAGCGTGGGCGGAGGATGTGCGTCATGGGGAGCGTGGGCAGGGGGAGGGCGGGGGCACGAGGAAAGCCGGGACCGGCGCTGGCAGCCCAGACTCCAAAATAACCGGACGGGGTGGGGGGAGGGGCGCCACACACCCCGCAGGGATGGGGCACCTCCGAGGGAGGCCGACTCACGGCGCCTGAGGGCGCCACGGGGGATCGGGAGGAGGACGGTGCTCCTCCTCCTCCTCCCCACCATCTCTACTGAGTCGGGATGAAGACCAAACCCCGAGCTGCTGAAACCGTCCCCCCTCGATAAAGAGCCATCCCTCTAACTGGAAACCCGGAGAGATCCCCTGGCCAGTCTGGAATGAATGTGGAATGTGGACCCCGCCCCGGCCCACGCCGCCCACGCCCTGCCAGGGCGAGCCACTCACAAGTGCGGAACCAACCGAGGGGCGGGGCTGGGCTTCGAACTAAAGGGCCGGCGCCCGTGGCCAGGACGCCGCGCTTCCCACCGCCCTTCTCCCCGAGGCCTGCGCGGCCCCCGCGTGCCCAGCCCCCCTCCCCGGCCCTCCCCGCCGTGGGCGTGCGTAATGGGAACCAGATGGGGCTGGGAGGAGCGGAGGGGGCTGGGCTCCTTGAAGGCACTCCTCCATGGCGGGCCGTCAGACTCCTGGCTCACCTTCCCTTAGAAGTCCGCTGCCACACGACCCCAGAAAGACGTAGCCGCCCTTCCCCGGCTGTGCCACCCAATCGTCCAAGCAGCGAGGCCTGGCCAACAGAGCAGGGCGCCACGAATAGAGGAAGGCATGGTACCCCCCCACCCCTGCCCTACCTAGCAAACCCCGACGTGCCTAATGGACAGCCGAGGGAGTTGTAGCAGCTTCTAGCGTGACCCACCTAGGCAACTTGGACAACTAGGTGCAGCCAGGGAGACGATCAAGGTTTCGGGGGGGGGGCGCCTCTTCAAATTACAACTCTTAGGGCCGGAGAAGGGTGCCGAGGCTCGGCAGGAATTCCTGCGCAGCCCCACGCCCGCCCACAGGATTTTAACCCTAAGCGTGCATCCTAGGAGAGCCGAGCGGGAGGAACCGCACACCCGAGCCTTCGCTCGCCAACTTTTGCCGGCTCGCTCCTAGCATTGAAACGAGCAAGCGGCGCGGCCGGGGTGTGTGGCACGGGCGCCCGCGCCGCTGTTTACACGCGTGTGCACGTACGTGCGCTTCGGTGTCTTTGTATACTTGTGCGTGGTTGTGAAACCGCGCTCTCGGCTCGCAGGGGTAGGAGTGGTGCAGGGAGTCGGAATGTAGCCGGCGGGGTGCTCACGTGGGTACGTGGGCGCAGAGAGGGCCGGCTGTGCATCCGGCGTGGGCGGCACGGAGCGCCCCGCCCCGCCCGTTGGGTCCCCAGCCTCCCCCCCCACCCTCCCCAGCCCGGCCTCGGTCACCTCGGTCCCCAACTCGGCGCCCGACTCTCGAGTCCCCGCCTCCGCCTCCTGCCCCACACCTTTCCCCCACCCCCAAGTCTCCTCCTCTCAGTCCCCGCCGCAGCCTCTCGGAGGCCGGGAGGCCTAGGGTCCCACCCCCCGCCTCCGGTCCCAGCCCCCGGTTCTGCCCACGCCCTCCTCCCGCCAGCCCGGCAGCCAGCGCAGCGCCCGGCCTCGCTCCCCGTGCGTCCTGCGGGGGAGGAGGCGCGGAGAGGCGGCGAGCGCAGCCGGGGAGGTGGGGGCAGAGGCGCACACAGAGGCGCGGAGGCTCGGAGAGAGGAGACGTGGAGGGAGGGACGGAGCCTGGACAGCGGTGGACCGGGGACGCGCGCGCCAGGCAAAGCGCAGCGCGCAGCAGGCGCCGGGCACCGACTGGGGAGGCGCGGGTGAGCTCTGGCCGTCCATGCACAGAGCGCCCTCTCCCACAGCCGAGCAGCCACCTGGCAGAGGGGATAACACCCGCCGGACTCCGCAGCCCAGACTCAAGTTAGTGGGCAAAAAGAGGTGTCGGGGAGTGGAGATGGGTGGAGCTGGACTCGGGAATGGGGTCCGGAGGATGGAGGTCGAAAAGAGGACGTGGGGAGGCTGCATGGGGGTGGGAGGTGGAGACTGATCGAAGAGGGGGTAAGTGTTGGAATTAGGGAGCCTTGAGAGCAAGCACAGACCCTGATGAACCTGGATACGCCAGAGTACTGCCTTATTTTCATTCCAGACTTGCTCAGTGGGCATGACCTGGCACGTGAGCCCCCTCTGGAAATAATGTCCCCAAGCGCCAGGGGAAGGGAGAAGCCCCAGACCTAGATCTGACAGCAGAGCGAGGGGTGGGGGCGCTTAGCTGGCTCCGTCAGTGTGTCGCTGTAAGGTGGCACCATCCCTAGGTCCGGGTTCTTTTGGGTTAAGGGGCCTTCTGTGGGGCTTGAAGGGGGCGTGCTTCAGCGTCTCTTTTCATTAAATGACCACAGTTTTCCGTGGGCAGCCCCTTCCTCAGGAGGCCTTCAGCCCCTCCCGCACTCTCTTCAGAAGATTAGGGTGGAAAATAAGGGAGACGAGAGTAGGCGGGAGCCCCCAGGCGGTTTCGCCCACAGACGCTGCCTCTGTAGGCGTGTGTGGGAAGAAGAGCCCCGGAGCAGAACAATCGAGGCTTCCCTCCTCCCCCACTGCCTGAGAAGAGAGGGGCTTGCTGAATAGTGGGAAGGGTCGCACAAAAGGACGGGAGCAACTGGAGGGCACCGGGCACCCTGAAAGTTGGGACAGACACTCGGAGGGTGGACAACTTCTACTCCCAGGAAACTGAGCGCAGAGCCGGCCGAGGGTTGGCTGAAGAGCCAGGGAAGGGGCCACACCCCTCCCTCTCAGCCACCTGGCGAGGAGCAGCCCCTGGCTTGCTAAGTTAACTGTAATGTGGGATGTTTGTTACATGGAGCAGTGTTGAGGCTGCTGAGTGTTCAGGGGGAGAGGGGAGAACTGTGACTTAGGGAAAAGTAGGTCTGGTCGGTTCAGGGAAGTGTTAGTGGGCCTTCCTTGTTCAAGGCCGTGCTGCCCCAGACCAGAAAGATCAGAGTAAAAGATGAGGTAAGGGTCCCCCCCCCCCCGTAGCTGTAGATAGGGGGCCAACAGCACGGGCTCGGCTGCTGTGCCTCTAAGCAATGCTCGGTTCTCAGAGTACTCAGCCTTGGGCAATGGGCAGAGAAGGCATTGGAAAGGAAGGGTGAGGCGGAGGCAGGGAAGCAGAATTGCTAGTGTGGGTTGGTACCCAGCGGACACTTGTACTCACTGCCCCCCTGCCCTTCCTTCTCAGGGCAAGTGCCCCGACCATGGCACTGCCTCGCACCCTGGGTGAGCTGCAGCTGTATCGGGTCCTGCAGCGTGCCAACCTCCTTTCCTACTACGAGACCTTCATCCAGCAGGGAGGGGACGATGTGCAGCAGCTGTGTGAAGCTGGTGAGGAGGAGTTCCTGGAAATCATGGCACTTGTGGGCATGGCCACCAAACCACTCCATGTCCGGCGTCTACAGAAGGCTCTGAGAGAGTGGGCCACCAACCCTGGGCTGTTCAGCCAGCCGGTGCCTGCTGTACCCGTCTCCAGCATTCCACTCTTCAAGATCTCTGAGACGGCGGGTACCCGGAAAGGGGGCATGAGCAACGGGCACGGCAGCCCCGGAGAAAAGGCAGGCAGCGCCCGAAGTTTTAGCCCCAAGAGCCCCCTTGAACTTGGGGAGAAGCTGTCGCCACTTCCTGGAGGGCCTGGGGCAGGGGATCCCCGGATCTGGCCGGGCCAGAGCACTCCAGAATCTGATGTTGGAGCAGGAGGAGAAGAGGAGGCTGGGTCTCCCCCTTTCTCTCCACCTGCAGGGGGAGGAGTCCCCGAGGGGGCTGGAGCTGTGGGCATGCCTGCAGGTGGGCCTGGGGGTGGTGCAGACCGCCTGGAACCGGAGATGGTAAGGATGGTGGTGGAGAGCGTGGAGAGGATCTTCCGAAGTTTCCCCAGGGGTGATGCCGGAGAGGTCACATCCCTGCTGAAGCTGAACAAGAAGCTGGCACGTAGTGTGGGCCACATCTTTGAGATGGATGATGGTGACAGCCAGAAAGAGGAGGAGATCCGGAAGTACAGCAGCATCTATGGCCGCTTGGACTCGAAACGGCGTGAGGGCAAGCAACTCAGCTTGCACGAGGTGAGGGCAGGTCCTCAGGGCTGCCCTGAACTCCTGAGGGTCAGCCCATTTGCCTCTGAGAATGCTTGCATCTTCAGACTATGGACCGCTGTCCCCGTGGCCACCCAAGTCCCCTCAGACACAGAGCAGGCCCTGGTTGGCCGCTTTGAGTCCCTCCCTTCTACCCCTCAGGAAGGTCCTGGGTTGTATTTAAAGCAAGCATCCCTTGGATGGCCTCCCCCTCCCCTTCCCCTCCCTGTGGTGAAGGGGGGAAGCCAGGGGTGAAGGGAGAAAGAACCAGGATTCACACTGGTGTCCTCTTACCACAGCTGACCATCAACGAGGCTGCTGCCCAGTTCTGCATGAGGGACAACACGCTCTTACTTCGGAGGGTGGAATTGTTCTCGCTATCCCGCCAAGTGGCCCGAGAGAGCACCTACCTTTCCTCCTTGAAGGGATCCAGGTGAGACCCCCTTTCCCTGGGCCACTTTGGTTGGAACCCCGCCAGAGTTGGACGCCCCCCTCCCCCTTAGTTCAGGCAGCTCTAGGCCTGCTCTCCACCCACGGTCTTCTGGTGCCAAGTCAACTTGTCTGAGGCCTGCTCTTCACTCCCAACCCCCCACCATAATGACTGAACTGGAGGTGCCTATCCAGCCAGCCTCTTGGAGGTTTCCTGGCCAGACTGTGTTCTGTCTGCACCCTGGGACCGACCCTCCCTAACGCCACCTCCCCTATTCTCCTAGGCTTCCCCCTGAAGAGTTAGGTGGCCCACCGCTGAAGAAACTGAAACAAGAGGTAGGTTTGGCGTTAGTGGGACAGGGCAGAATAGCCAAGCCTAACCACTGCCTCGCTGTGTTCTCATTTCCCAATTGTGGGCATCCACAGGTTGGGGAACAGAGTCATACTGAAATCCAGCAGCCTCCCCCAGGCCCTGAGTCCTATGCGCCCCCATACCACCCCAGCCTAGAGGAGGACAGCGCCAGTCAGTCTGGGGAGAGCCTAGATGGCCACTTGCAGGGTGAGCGCATTACTTCTGCTTAGGGAGGAGGTGGGGGCGGGCGGGTGGGTTCCCGGAGTGAGCCAGGAGTCAACTGCCTGGAGCAGGGCTGGGAGGTCTGGCTGGATGTGGGCAGAGGAGCCTATGGGAATGACTTGTCGGTTGAGGGTGGGTACCGTTGGCGGCAGCCCCCGCCTGACCTGACCAGTGCCCATGCCCACAGCTGTGGGGTCGTGCCCAAGGCTGACGCCGCCCCCTGCTGACCTGCCCCTGGCATTGCCAGCGCATGGGCTGTGGAGCCGCCACATCCTGCAGCAGACACTGATGGATGAGGGGCTGCGGCTCGCCCGCCTCGTCTCCCACGATCGCGTGGGCCGCCTCAGCCCCTGTGTGCCTGCGAAGCCGCCTCTCGCAGGTGAGGCAGCCAGCAGTGCTGTCCCTAGACACCCCATGCCCACCCAAGGGCCCTGGTTTTCTAGGACCAGAGGGGAGGAAGAGGGATCCAATAGGATTGTCAGAACAGTAGCAGGGGTTCCAGCTAGCCAGACTTTAAGCAGGGGCAAGCTACTGCTGGGTTGTTTACGATGGGTGGGGAGCGTTTGGCCCAGGTGGGGATCTTTGGGGGGGGGTGCAAACAGAATGAGGGGTGAAGGTGAACAGAGTCAACAGTAAGAGAAGCCCGCCTAGAACTGCCTGATGCAGGGGTGTGGAGTCGCGGGGATAGGGTTCCCCAGCTTGGAAGCCAACGAGCCCAAAGCTGGGCGCTTTGTGTGTGGATAGGAAAGGAGTGGGCCGGCAGAGGGCCGGGCAGCCTCTGGGCTGAGAGTGACGCAGCAGACAAAGCCACCAACCCTGGCTTGGTATTTTTAAACTCTGCGTGGGTGGGAAGTGGGGGCGGGGACTGGAGGGGGGGCTTTTCTTGAGGGAGAAGCTGGGAGTCTAGCTTCCTGTGTTTCCCCTGATTTGGTTACTACCAAAACCTCGGGGAGAGGGGGCTCTTGCAGGGCAGGTGAGGCCTGGGACGGGGCCAGAGATGAGTGGTGGGTGGCCGAGCCTGGGAAGGGGGAGGGGGCAGAGGTCAGAGCCAAGCCGCCCCCGCAGCTCCCGACAGAACCAGAAATTCCAGCAGAGCAGAGGCGGGCGAGACAGAGAACGAGAGAGACAGAGAGCTACACACAACCAAAATAGGAGGGAGCTGCGCGCCCTTCTCATTTTTCTGTGCTGGCCTCACTCAAAACGACCCATCGGCCCAGCTTCGGCCCGTGCCTCCTAACCCACACATCCTTCCTACAGAATTCGAGGAGGGCTTGCTGGACCGGTGCCCGGCCCCAGGACCTCATCCTGCCCTGGTGGAGGGTCGTCGGAACAGCGTGAAAGTGGAAGCCGAGGCCAGCCGGCAGTGAAGGCGGGGGTGTCTCAGGCCCAGGACCCAGACGTCTCCGTCCTCGAACTCCAGTCAACGCCCTAGAAGGATCCTTCTGCTGCCCTTCTGCCACCCATCTGCCCCATGGGCACAGGACTGTGGGGCTTCAAGCAATAACAAGCAGAGGCCTGGACTTAGGAGGGTGCAAGGTGCGCCTTCACCCGGCTCAGGGGCGGGGACTTTGCCTCCGGCCTGCTGGGCATCTCCCTCCCTCACCCCACACACCCATTCCCCCCCAACACTGGGTCTCCCTCCCGTTTCTTTGTGCTTCTAGTTTCTTTTAACAAGTGCTGCGGTTTGCCCACCCATCCTCATCACCCCCGCACACCCCCAGCGGTTCGTTCTTGTACTGTGTGAGGGTCCCCCATAGTTGCCTCCACCAGCCCCTTCGAGGCCTGGGTTGGACCCTGGGCCTCAGGCCAGCAGCACCTGTCGAACTCTTAGAGTGTCTTTCTTTTCAGATCGTGTACAGTAGATTATTTATTTTGTTATTTTGGAATAAAATTTATTTTATGGCTTAGGATCCATGACACCCCCTCCCCCTTAAGAAGGTAAATGATGGCATGAGGTGTGTGAATGGAGAGAAGCCGGCAGTGGATGGAAAACAGGAGACAGACAGCGCCCAGGGCTTTAAGCGGTGAGGCCTGTACCCCCATTCAGTTCCTCGGGCTCTAGGAAACAGGAAGCAGCGAGTTACCAAGACTATAGATAGCTATCTATATGCATGTCACAGCCACGTAGTTACACTCCCAAAACGGCATCGGGTTACTCAGCCTTTCAAATGTGTGGTCACACAGGCAAACAGCAGAGATACATGTCCTGTGTGGTCATCAGCGGGTGCGACATCTGTAGGTTAGCATGTCTCAGGTAAACATTGGCACAGCTACACACACAAGCCTAGCTCTTGTGAGGCTTACCCTCAACTGTCACAGCCTCTTTTGGGCAAGAATTTGGGGTTTTTAATCTGAGCAAAATCCTCCCCTGCTTCAATCCTCTAGGTCTATGCCCTCTCCGAGGAGGCAGGTGGTGTCCTGTGTTTCTGCATGCGTGTCCCAGGCCCTGGCTCAACACAGGAGCCCCTGGTACCCTAGCCTGTGCTTGCCTAGACCCCTCCTGCTCTGTGTCTTCTGGTCCCTGTGTGTGTGTGGGGGGGGGTGTAGGCATGACAGTGCCTGTTACATCAGAGTCTGAACATCCCCTGCCCCGTGCTGGAGAGGGGGCCCATGATGTGTTTGGAAACACAAGTACAGTGGCTCCATATGCCGCCACCATGCCTTCCAGTCAGTTCTTTCCTTCTGGCCAAGGAACAGCTGGAGATGGGAGGTGCCTGCATGAGCAGGTGTCCCGAGCAGGTCCATAGAGACAGAGAGGCTCTGTCTGGGCTTCTCCAGCTGGGATCACCAACTGGGATTGGTCCGTAGGTCCAGGTGGGACATTGAGATCCCAGGTTGCCCATAAGCAGATGGTTGCAGTAGGGCCTGGGCCCCAATTCCTCCTGCCTCCCCTTGGCCCTCCAGGAGCAGCTTGGTGAGGTCCTGTTCAGTGGGTGGCAGGAGGGGAGGGAACATGTCTTCATGGATGGTTCTGTTTCCTAGGCCCACTTCCCCGACCCTGCAAGGAAGAGGGAAAAATATTGGTGCAGGCAGGGCAGCCACTCTCCCCAGCCCTCACTCCCAGGCTCCTACTCACCAGGTGCCCTGGGGGAACCCTCCCACAGGCTGAGTTAGGCAGCTGTCTTCTGCCATGGTCACGTCTGGGCAGAGCAAAGGTTCAGGGCTGGACACAGCATGCTCCTGGGACTGACATTGTAGCAGGCCCCTGCCAGGGGTCAGAAGAGGACATTAGGAGGGGGCAGACGGAAAGAATGGAGATGGTGGGGTCAGGAGGGTTTTGCCACTTACTGGGGGTGAGGCTGGTCAAAGGGTAGGCTCATCTGGCTCATGTTGGGGGGCATTTGCAGGTGAGGCGGCCTAGAAGGAGAAAAGAAGAAAGAAACCGGGCAGAGGAAGAGTATTGCAGAGTCTACACCCGGGCTGGGCCCGACCCTGACTTGGCATTTCACTAACATTCCTTAAGCGAGCCATTTCTGTGACCCTAGATCAGTTTCTTCCCCTGAAAAATGGTGTGCGTTGGTGTGTCCAATCGCCCGCTGGGATTCAAGGAGTGTGCCACCACCGCATGGCCCAATGTTTCATGAGACTGAACTATGGCTCTGTCTCCCAGGCCCACTCCACATCAACGCCCAGGAAGACAGAAAAGCCCTTGACTCAGAGCTGATTAAGCAGCGTAATGCTACTTGGGGGAAGAAAAAGTCTGGTCCATTCCAAGGATCACGAAGATTAACAGATAAAAACCACCACATCCTCTGTGGTGCATGCGGCTCGGCGGTAGAGCATACACTCGGCGTAGGTTCAGTCCTGAGCTCGACCCCCTAGCATCACAACTTTCATGCATACACACAGCAAGTTAGTTACCGTACATCTCACAGGCAGGAGAGAACACACTAACAGTGTTTGCCGTAAGCGCCCAGCTCGGCTCCACACATTACAAACTCGTGGAATTAATCTCAAAAAGTGCTTGGCCCTTGTGCAGTAGGGAATGCCATTATTATCATCGCCGGCGGCTAAGTAACCTATACGCAGTTCGCAGAGCCTGGGACTCAAAGCCCACTGCCTGCAATCGGATGCTGCCCCACCGCACCCTCCCTGGGCTCCGACTTACTCCGGGAAGGCTGGAAGTACACCGATGGACTCTTCTAGAGGGAGGGTTTGAAACGCGTGAATGGAATGAGGCTGCGGCGGGTACCTGAGGGAAGAAAGTAGAGCCTGATGCAGGCCCCTCCCCCGAAAACCCTGTCCGCAAGAGCCAGCCCCTCCCTCCTTTGCCTCTCAACCTCCTTACCCCATATCTGAGCTGAGTTGCATGGAGCTCTCAGAGGCCATTGCAAGATCATAGGATGGCACCATGGTAGGCATAGGGGGCTCAGGAGTAGGAAGAGGCTGGTCCCTGGCAAAGGGAAGGAAGCACACATGACTCCTTCCTGCAGGTGTAAGCACCAGCCCCGTCTCCACCCGCTACCCACACCATGGCACTAACCTCTCCACAGTCATTTTGATGGCAGTGGAGACGTAGCCCCTCCCGTCCTTCCCCATCTGCTCAGCTGTAGTGGGAAGGAAGGAACTGCGGTGAACCCCACTCTCAGGGAGGCGGGAAGGGGGAAGGCTGATGGGCGGGTGGAGGCGGGGCCACACAAAGCATGACAGGCAGCAGGAACACACAAAGAGGGGTGTTAAGTGTGGCTGGGCCAGGGAGAAAGTGGGCCACAGGAGGGGCCAGAACCACCCGCTCACGCTTGTAGTGGCTCACGCTTGTAGTGGCTCCGGAAGGCCTCATCCTTGGGTTTCTTGGGGTAGAGATTTTTCAGCTGAGCGAGATCCCGGATTCGGTCCCCCAGTGAGCGAATGGACAGGTCTTTAGCAGAAAATGGCTGGATGTTCTCTATCTGTGGGGAGCCTGAAAGAGGAATGAGGCCCTGAGGACTCCTCTGTCCAAACTTCTCTTCCCCCAGCCCCACACGGGACCCATTCTCAACCACCATGGCATGTGAGAGAGGGTCTAGCCTGGAAGTCTTGCCTGAAGAAGACCCACTCATCTCCATTGCCATGGGAGTTGAAGGTTAGACCATAGGAGGGCAAGAAGTCAGACCTAAAGAAGAACTTCCTAAAGATCGGGTGAACATCGAGGATAGCCAGGGAATTTCCTTCCCCAGAAGCCCAAGAGAGTGCAGCGTGGGCTCGGGGCTGGCTGTGGGGACTCACCATCCTGACCGCGGATCACATGGGCAATGGTGATGCCGCCGATCTCGGAGTCGCTAAAGCGGAGGAGGAAAGTCCCATCTGGCTCGTTGAGTAGAAGGCTTGTGACGTACTGTTTGCTAATGAAGCCGATGATCAGCCTGGGCAGGGTTAAGGAGGAGACATGGATGTGGACCCCAGGTGTGGCTGGTGAGGGGGCCTCAGGTACAGGTACGGGGCTGCCTGAGGCCAGGGACTCACCGGTCTGACCAATAGCTCCTGAGGCATCGTTTAGTGAGGTCTAGAACACCGTCAAACCACTGCCAGAAAGTAAAGCCTCGGCCCAACAGGATCTCCTGGAGGGTGGAGAAGAGCAGAGGGGGGGGGGGACTGAGCTGGATGGAGCTAGCTCAGAGCTGAGAGTATGAGAGTCAGATTGAGAATCTAAGGCTCATCAATGGCAACCACTTACCTTGAACACATTAGCCAACCCTTAAGCCTTTTCTGTATGCTAACTTATTTGGATATAACGATAATTCTAGATATAACACAATCATCGTTACAATTTAATGGCTGTTGAGAAAGGTAAGTGACTTCCCAAGGTCCACATTGCTAGCAAAGGACAGAGTGGAGATTTTTTTGTTTTGCTTTTCCAGACAGGGTTTCTCTGTGTAACAGCCCTGACAGTCCTGAAACTTACTCTGTAGACCAGGCTGGTCTCAAACTAGCAGAGATCTGCCTGCGTATGCTGAGATTAAAGGCATGTGCCATCACCATCACCGCAAAGCCAGAGTGGAGATTTAAGTCAAGCAGTCTAGCTTGGGAGTCCCTTGTAACCACTGTGCTAAACTCTGTCCTCAAAGGGGCCTGCCCTGTCCCTTTCAGTCAGGCATTCTCTGGTCACATGACCTTCTCCCCCACCCTCCCAACCCCCATCTTCCGTTTGTTTGAAAGAGAAATGACCTACAGTAGGAACCCGGGGAAGGTAGCTAGCTGTTTAGGTGGATGTGACTAACAGTGGAGGCAGGCACTCACCCTTTTCCGTCCTTATAACCGATTCAGTCCTGAGCCATCTCATTTTGGAGACAGAAAACTCAGTAGCTAATAGGAAAAGTCAGAAATACAGGGCTCCTGTTGGGCATGGGCACTCATGCTGGCAAATTTCTGGACCTAGGCTGGAGGCTAAGGCTGGAGGAGTTTGAGGTCAAGGCCAGCCTGGGTTATACAGTGAGTTTGAGATTAGCCTGAGCTACAGACCAAAAGAAAGAAATCTGGGTTTCTATCTCAGTTAATATCACTTGCTGTGAGACCGTGAACAAACTACGGGAACTCACTAAGCACAGGCAGGCTTTTCATCTGTGAAAGACACACAAATAGCACCTACCCACCCATAAGGGATTGTAATGGACTAAGCTAACACACACACAGTGTGAAGCTGTGCCTGGTATGTAGTGAGCTGTCAGCACACACGGTCTTGCGTGATTTCACTCAGATTTTGCAATAACTACCTTTTAATAGGTCAAAGCCATTTTTCAAATCAGAGCTCTGTTTGCACACAATCAATCACTGCTAAAAACAAGGGAGAGAGAGAGAGGATGGATGGATGGATGGATGGATGGATGGATGGATGGATGGATAGGGGCCCCAGACCAAAACTGAGGGATGCCAGAAAAAGTCACCAAATGGACGAGTTTTCTCTCTGGGCCACGCTGTGATGGAGGCATTGTGA